TTTATTTAATTTCGAGTTGTTGTAAACAGATTACTGTGTACAATTTATGTAATCCACTTAACTGATTTAATTGAACATTTTAAATGAGTTTTGCATTCCAGATTTAAAAGTTACATTTATTATCAGATTTTTCTCACCTGATTTGACTAGATGGTCGCCGCTTGTTGCGCTTGTTGGCACGCAGTTCTTCCAGGAATTTGACTATTTTGCGATCGGCCACATCAATGCAGGATTGGCCGGCGTAGTTGCGTATGTCCATGTCGGCCAGTGACTCCACGAGCATCTCGGCCGTTTCCCGTTGACCCCAATGCGATGCGGCATGCAGTGGCGTCCAGCCATCGTTATCCTGGCGATCCACATTGCCACGTCCGGCCAGGAGTAATCCCAGCACTTTCGTGTAACCCTTAGCGGCGGCTACGTGGAGTGCTGTGGCTCCTGTTTTCGGATGCGGTCTGTCCACCTCGGCGGCATCGCTTCTCAGCCACTTTTTGGCATCGTTCAGCATCGCCTGCTCTTCAGCCTTTCGAGCCTCATCCACGTTTATGTTTAGCTCCTGCACCATCTTCTCCATGTAGTCAATCATGGCCATGTGCTGCACATCGATGGCCAGGTCCAAAGCCAGATCGCCATCGCTGTTCACAGCGGCCACATCAGCGCCATTTTCCACCAGATACCGAGCTATGCTCACAAAGCTAAGAAACAAAACGTACATAAGAAATGAATTATGGGGAAATAGGTGATTAACTCACCCGCAGGAGGCAGTGGCATGAAGGGGCGTCCAGCCCTCGTTATCCTGTCGGTTTATATCGGCACCTCTCTCCACCAAAAACTCCACCATGTCCAGGTTGTCGTCTATACACGCCTGTAAAATATAAGGTCAAAATCAGGAGTTAGTAAAGAAAAAACAATTTTTTAAAAATAAATAAAGTAGACACTGATAATTATCGAGTAATCAAAGCTTCCAAAGATATGAAAAAAAAAGTTAAAACACACATATTGATATTCCGGTTTCATTTATTTTCAATTATTATAATTGGGGAAACCCCCTTAACTAAAAAGTCCATATTATTTATGGCGTAAGCCTCCACTCAATTTTTATATTTAACAATTGAGTATTTTCGTTAAAAACGACCATTGCAGTTGAGCAATTTTGATTAATCCCAACAAATAATTAAAAAAGCTATAAAAGTCTTGTAAATGCATCATTAAAGAAACTACAATAAAGTTTAAATTGAAGACCTCTAAATTATTTGAAACTTAACAAAGTTGATGGTTATAAAATACATCAAAGTGGAATGTTTGGGGCTAAGCGAAATGTCAATTAGCCTTAGTTAAGTTTATAGAAATTTGTCAATGTCTATCTATGAGTAAATAATTCGTCTTTTGTTTGGGTCTTGCTCATTGTAATTTCACATCAAAAGGTCAAAACAATAATCATCGATCCTTGAAATCGTTCTTCTTTTCCAAATGAAAATGTATTTATTTACATTTTTATGGCCAGACAAGCAATTCGATTTCCCGAAGGCAATCGTAAATGCAGTGCATCAAAAGTTGAATCAACTTTCGTAGAAGAGATGCGAGGTGGTGTAGCTTCGATTTGTTTTTATAAGAGCTAGTAAAATGTTTTAAAATTTCGTGTGTTTATCTTGCTAAAACGTTAAAGTAAACAGCCAGCTAAAGACACAAGCCAAAGTAGAGAAGCTCCAGCATGGTTGGGTTGTTTATGCGGATTTCCGCTGAACCCGCCTAGACATCTTCGTTTGGTTTGATGGCACATGCACGGCACTGAACGATGATATCATCGCCCGCGACTCCGGCGCTTCTTTGGGGCCGCCGCTATCTGTGAGCCAGCGAAGAAACCAACCCAACCCAAGCCAACCCAACCCCATAACAATGTCGGGCTGAGTTGAGTGGAGACGACAACGCCTCGTAGTTGCAAATGCCGATAAGCATTCTTTGGCGCAAAAGCAACAGCACAAAACCCAAGGAAAAGAAAGTAAAAGACGAGGCCCACAACAAAAGGCGCTAAGTCTATCAATGCACAGCACAAAATATCTACCAAAATCACATTCCAATAAAGAATCTTATCTGTGAGGAATTCATAAGCTGTGTTATTGGCAAATTGTCAAAACCGCTCTATTAACATATTTTGTTTATCTCTACATTTGTATCACACAACGAAAGCTCCAAACTTTTCAATTACAGAGCAGGTTCGATAAAATGAACTGATAAATGCCAAAGGTATTTACGGAAACAAATTTAATTTGGACTTATATATTTAGCACATAAAATAAACATTATTTGTAAAGTAACTTTATAATTCATAGAAGGTAGAAAGGGTAAAATAAAATGTTGGGGATTTAATAGAAGAAATAGGTTGCCCATCTCAAAATTCTATGGCCATATAGTTAGTTATTTTTAAATCCTTCTTGGCTACTGCTTTTTCTTTTCAGTGTATTTCCTTACCCTCCCCTTTCCCACTTTGATAACAGAGCACGTTTGAGGAGTGGGGGCATTATAAAAATCAAATGACCGATTCTTTTCTTTGTTTCTCTATCTTTCGCTTCTTTTCCTTTCCACGGCATATGTTAATTCAAATTTTTACTGGCTGAGCTTCAAAGTGACTTTTTTGCCGTTGCTTTTAGATCCAAAAGCAATTTCCATTTCGCAGTAAAACGCATTAAAAAAAAAGGCTAAAAAAAAGAGAGAGATAGGGAGACGGCGGGTGGGCCAAACAATTTGTAAATCTGGAACGCAGCCAATTAATTAATTATGAACAATTTTGATAAACTGACCGGCAGGAAAAAGGGGGAGGGGGGTTTGCACAGCGACAACGCCCACGCGTGACCATCCAAATCGACTCGACGACAATGTCCAATGGCTTTGTGGTATGCAAACATTTTTGACACGAGCTATTCCATCAGTGAATTCCCCCGATTCCCTAGACTTTGGGCCTTAATGTCAGAGCAACGGATTCTACGCTATTTCCATTTGCATTGCCAAACGAAAAGCAGTGAAAAAAAGCGAAAAGCGAAAAGAGAAAAAAAAAAAAAAACAAAACTGCATGCTAAGTTTAGCCTTTTGTTTTGGCACGCCATTGAGCGGCATTTTCAGCCGTTGCACGCCAAATGTTATTCACCTCGCCGCATTACGTATACGCCGCGTAGGCCAACAGCGACTTGTTGAGACGGCTTTCAGACTCTCGGCCGCCAGCTTAACGTGGCTCATTACGCGGTAGTTTGCTAGGCGCCAAGCTCCATTTGGCCCCCGCTTTGTTAACCATCAATGCACATAATTCTGGCTTATAACTCAATAGCCTGAACAATTCCTTTTGATGAAGAGGCAGACACGAGAGTTCCGTGGAAAACTCTGTTTGAAATTGCAGGCTGGTGGGTCCAGGTTCTGGTTTAATCCAATTTAAAATTTAAGTCATAAACTTTAGAATGGTAAACGATTTCTTAATTACAAGCTTTTGTAAAGGGGTCTGCGATTATTTTTTTTTTCAAAATTACTTCGATTTCCCTTTATAATTCAAAACAGAATAAAGAAGAATAAGATAAAATATAAAAAATATTCGAGCTACAACTACAACTAACATAATATTATGCTAATAAATAAATGTATTTCAAATATTATTCCTTCAATTCCTTTACTCTGATCATACATCATCCCACTTTTGTTTCCCCTTGATCCGCAATTAAAATACGTAAATATTGAGCAATTTATTGTATTTTAAAATACGTTTTAAAGAAGCATTCCTTGCCACTCATTGACCTACCCTCCCTTGTTTGCATATATTATTTTAAGCGAGCAAATGTGTATTATAATCGAAATGCCAAAATAGACGAGCGAACCGCTTGAGTTCAATAAATTACAAATTTGAATTAGCGCCACAAGATAAAAGTGCAAAGAATCTACATAAACCATATGATATATAGACATACATATAGACCAGTATATATATCTAGACGTGCCTATATCCAACAGATTTTGAGGCATTTGCTCAGCGTGAAATGTTCTAGTATATTACAAAGTTTTCAAACAATTTCTTTTCTTTTATTTTATTTCTTTTTTTTAAAGAAAAGTTCTCATGTATCTCAATAGCTTTTCGCCACTAAAAATGCCTGGCATATTTTTGCCAAATTGTATAACGATTTATACAGAGCCGAATGAGTAGGCGCTTGTGGTCAGTCGAATTGTTTCCGACATTTAATATTTCTTTTTTGACTGCCAAGCCAGGTGGAGCCAAGACATCTGGCTGGAAAGTGTGAAAAATAATGAACACAAGCTATTGCAACATGAAAAATAAACAAACCAGAAGAAAACTTAAACGGAAACCAAAAATCTAGCCAATTTCCTTATGATTCTTTAAATTCCTTTGAAATGGTTTTTATAATTTAACACCATAATACGATTAAATCAATCATAGGGCAAGCGAAATGAATTCTTTAATTTTTTCAAGTCAATTTTCAAATAATTTCGCATAATAATTTCTTATCACTTTTAAACTATGTGAGTAACCTCATCATCAAATTTTACAAAATATTTGCCTTTCCTGAACTTAATGAAAATAAAATCTTATCGTTTCAATGTTTATTTACTTAAGATTTCATGTGTGAGTAAGCTGATATGATAATCGTTGTCCCCAAACTCTAAACTTTCCCCAATGCAGTTTTCAAATCTACAAACTTCTACTTACTAAATTATATGTATCTTAGATAAATAAACAAATTGTCAAAACCAATAAGTCAAAAGAAATTCCAGTTTCCATATGCATTGAAAATGTAATAAATATAATACAGCAATTTATATCAAAAACCACGTGATTTCCCTAAATGAATTATAAAATACATATAGAACTTAATATATTGTTCTGCTGAACTATTTCTGAGGTCATGTCGTCATGGGTTGCCAAAAGTATAGTATTTTTCACGAGTTCCCGCTGATTTCGGATCGTTTATCCATAAAACAGCAGATTTTAAATCGTGTGTGTGCCGGCGCGGCGAGTGTAAGCTAAATGTATAATAATTATTATCGGGCGGCGGCGGTGGCGGCAGAATTGGCAACCAGAAATAAAGAGAAAGAAAAGATTGGATAGGCCTAAGTCGGAGAAACTTGGTTGTAAAACGAAACATTTTTAATGGCATACATTTGGTGGCTGGCTATGGCTAGAAATGGTATTATGCAACGCACACATCAGATACTGGCAGATACAGATGCGGACTACGGACTACGGACTGCAGACATCACATCAAATTGTATCTGGCATAGAGCAGCGAATTTTCATTTTGATCATTCGCATTCGTTTGTTGTTTTGGGTGTAAAACACGAAACGAGAAATAAATCAAATCAAGTGTAGCGACCGCATCCATTTATATACAACCAAACAGATACATCCAGAGATCATTCTCATTCCGAATACACGCGCTGCTGATTCTTGAGGATATTCGATTTGTATCTGTGAGTCTGTAGCGTGTAGCTGTGCGTTTCAACAGCTGTCCGTCCCGTCAGTCCGTCGAGAACCGGGCCAAGGTTAGAAAACACGTCAATAAAGCGCGTTAGCCGACAGCAACAAATCTACTAGTGAATGGCTCTCGATGTGGTCTGTGTGTCTATTTTTATTTGGGAAAACTCACGCAGCTTTTCCCAACTCCCCGAGCGATCAGGACTCGTCATCGATCCGCGGCTCACGATCGTCATGTCAACGGATCGATCGGCGATTGTTACGATTATTATGCACTCAACACTGACTATGGCTCAATTTGAGAGAAGTCTTGACAGAATAATTTCTTAATTTATGCGGCGCCAGCTTGCGTCCCCTTCTCCCCCTATATAAATCGAAATATATCAATTGCTAATTGGCAGAAATGTATGTATATAAATCAATTCTTAATTTGAGCACATCATTGAAAGAAGCTGATTAATGAAGAAACATAGATTGGCACTCAGGGGGCGCGAAAACCAGATTTGATAGCTGTGAGTCTAATATAAATGGATAAATTAAGCAAAACTGATAAGAGTATTTATCGCAAAAGAACCCCAACGACCCTCAAAACTTTAAAATTTATCAAATTTGTTTATTCTACTTTGGGTAAGGTCGTTCCATTTGTCTCATTTTTATAGTTTCGCTTCAAAGTTACAAAATGATTCATTTGATAATAATTTCAGCAAATGAAATAAAATACACATATTTTGTTAAAGCCCACGTATTTCCAAAAATTTCTATTTATACATTTTATAACTAATTCATGTGAAATATGTGTGTGGACCATGAAATACGCTTTTATAAAAGATACACATTTCGAAAAACATCACGTTATCCTTGAACTGTATTTAAATGTAAATATCTGAATCTGAACGCTTGTAAACACCCGTAATTTATTGCCATTTCTTTGATAATTTCCCACTTGTCCCCCAGCGAGTTTGAACGTCAATGCACGCTGCCAGCTTGTAGGCCAAAAGCAAAATCAAAGTCAGCCAACGGCATGGATACACGGTCACTTGCAACCGCCGCCTCCATCCTCCAATTTCTATCTTCCTCTCCATCAGTCAACATCATTCATATAAAGTCCAAGGTAGCGGCGCAACACAGTGGAACCAAGAGACTCCTGTTTTCCATTTAATTTAGTCAAATCGGAGCATTAGGTTCATTGTTTCTCATTTAATTTTATAAAATCAATTGGTAGACAAAAAACTTTTAAAAATAAATACTAAATCTAAATTCTTTCGCCAACATTTTTGATGTTTAAAGAAGTCTATATTTTTTTTTATCAAAGCTATGGTTCTTTTAAGTTGCTTTCAAATTTTTGCGTTTATAAATTTGAGCAACAAGTAAGTTTTTATTCAAAGAAAACCTAAATTTGCTCGAAATACGTGCCACTTAATTCCTATAAGTGTTTCTAGTGATTGTTATACTATGATCATTTCTGAATTCCTAAGAATTCTCCTTTCTTTTTATAAATTATATGTGGTAACCATTAAAAATTGGTTTAGTACCACTGTGGCCTATCCCGTCTGCAGAAATCGTGTCGCATGCCATTGAAAATGTGTTGCAGGTGTGGTGCTCTCGTTGTCAATGCTTATGAATGGAAGGCCCAAACATTGAAATTATATGAATGCGAAAATGGAGCGGCAGGGAAAAACTACAAAGAAAGTGCGGAATGGGCTTTTGCAACCATTAGAGGACTTGTAAGTAAAGGCGATAAGATAATTATTTTAATAAATGCAATCGAAATTCTGTCTTGCGGTTTAGCAAAAACGACAGCAGCAAGTGAAGCAAATAGCCGCAGGTTGCGACCGCAGTTGCACCGCACACAATGTGGCAGGTAATTCAAAACGTTTGCACTGTTCCCATTGTTATTATTATTATTATTGTGTTGTAGTTGCTGTTGCTGTTGCTGTAATTACAGTGCACTCCCAGACAGTGAGCCCTCCCCGCGCTGCCCGCACTGAGCAAATTAGCATCTGGTTAACAAGTGCGCCGCGGTTAAACGGTGAAAATCTTCGACTCTTTGCTGGCGCAGCATAATTAGAATCAATTATATTGAATTGGAGCAGACAGTGAGTGCAAGATGGGAGTGGACTGACAGCCGACTTTGTAATTGATGAGAGAAGCCGTTGAATTGATTTTCACATTTAAGTAAGAATTTTGGAGATAATCCCAGGAAAAGTCATTTCTTTATGTTCACTTTTCGATTTTTTTAAATTAAAATCTCTAAAGATTTTTTTAAATTGTTAAAGTTAGTTCCAAGTTTCAAATTTTCACAAGCTTTAGACTTGACATAAAAACTTCTTGTTTCTTATTTCTTAAGCAACATTAAAAACCAAATAGACAAGTTTTTGATAATAAGGAAACAAAATTTAAACATTTATAACATTTTTTTGCTAGCAACTCATTAAATTTTTTTTGTTCGACACAGTACAATAACAAGTCAAACAAATGAGAGGAAAACTGAAAATGATTTTGCGAAAAATCTTTGGGCTTTCAATATGTAAACTCGCTTTCATGTGTATGGGTATTGTATGTTTTTCTTGGTTGTTAAAAATAGAAAATTTTGTATTTTTCTTATTTAATGCTTTTGGCCGTTGCCCGTTTGCCTTTCGCTGGTTTTTGCTGTTGCTGTTCTGGCCATTCGACTTGTAAATCGTCGGCTTGCATTAGCCATGTATTTGTTGTATTTGTTAATATTCGAAATTCGTATTGTTGTTGCGGCGGCGGTGTTGAAACCGCAGAAGAGCACGAAATACGCAACAAAAACAATGGTCGAGCGTCTAGAGATCGGCGCTGCACAGTGGGCCTAAGACGAGGCCTACACTTTGACCTTGATAGGATCAGAAAGGTCCTTTGAATATTGTAAAAGATTAAACAAATTTTACTAAACGTTACGAACCATTTTTAAAATATTTTTATCTAGAATACTGTTAAATATTTATAAACTGACACATTACTCTATTTACTTTACATCTATTTTCCTTTTTAAATTCAGTAAAATATAAATTAATTAACGTGATTTACATCTTGCTAAACAAAAAAAAAACAAGTTGCAGTTCTACTCGTATATATTTGACATACATCGATATATTTCTATACCTTAAGATATTCGTATTATTTTGATCATTGGTTCATGGAATTTGACCCACAGTACGGCCCACGTCAGCACCACAGTTGGACGCAACGCAACAGTGTCGAAATTGCAGCCCCCTGCGCCCGTTCCACCCCCACCACCCCCTCGCCTGGTCGCGTGATCGCAATTGCAGCAGACTGACGCAACGTTTTGCCCCCTTCTATAAGGAAATCAGACCCTGGCAAATAGGGGATGCAAAATGGATATACATAATTTAGTGAACTGAGGTGCACCTAATACAGATCCAACCCCTTTTACAAGAAGTTGAAGTCCTAGGTACAAGTTTAGTTTTCGTTCCTTCCATTTATTAGGTCCCGAGATGTGGCCGCCAATAAGGTAATTTTGTAATTTAGACCAAATGATTTCGGAATGTGCTCGTTTTCATCAAAGGCATTAAAAAAAACCTCGATTTTAAAAATAAAAGTCAAAATGAATGGGACACCGGTAAAATCATTTGAAATTTTGAAAAATCTGTAGAAACTAAGCTCTTTTTGTTTTTAGTCCATTATTATTAATTATGTTCTATGTTCAGAAATTAAAAGTATGTAAAAAGTTACAAGTCGATATTTCCTTATTGTAAGATTTCAGACAATGAACATTTTAAATCAGTTTTTTTAATCCTGTCTTGGGTGTTCGATCTGTTGTTATTTTGAATTGATTTCTATGTTGACTTTGGGAGAAATATAATATTACTATTTTTGAGTATCTAAAAATCGAACCCCTTCCTATAGCTTTTGCTAAAATGAAAAATGCGGTATACTTTAGTTCAAGTGACAACTCTAAAACATTATACGTGAAGCTTAGATTGGACCCTTCTACATAAGGACTTGGACACACAGAAATCCTTTAGTAAAATTTTAATTTAACTAACCTGATGCAGGGCGGTTAGTCCGTCCACGTTGGCCGTGTTGATGTCGGCGCCCTGGTCGAGCAACTGGACGACCTCGTCCTTGTCGCCGGAGAGGCAGGCGGCGAGGAAGACGCAGCCGGAGCTGAACTTGATCCTGCGTCCGTGCTCGTGGCGGGGGGTGGGGGCAGCACGGTTGGTGTCCGACTCCTCCCAGCGCTTCAGCTGCTCCGCCCGCTTCATCATCGCCGAGTTGTTGCGCGCGTCCAGCGAGGACATCTTGGTGATCCTTTTTTAGACGATCCTTCAGATAATCCTGCTATTTGAGGCAGAGCGCGCGCTCTGTGAGATCCGACTGCTCCAGATGTATTCGTGTTTATATGTTCGCTGGTTTTTTCTTGTGTTTTTGTTATTGCTTTATTGCGTTTTGTTTGCACTGTGAATTTGGTTTTGATTTTGCACTATTTATAGAAAATGCTTCACACTTTCGATTTTCGATCACAACTACACTTTGCTGTTTGTACTGCTGCTGCTTCTTCTCCTGCTTGCTGATTATTATTATTTTTCGATTTTTCTACTTTTTTGTGCCTGTGTTTGTGTGCGTATGCTTTATCAGCCAACTTCTTGGCGTTTTCTTTTACACTAACTCACACGCGGGCAATTTGGAACGCTCTCTCTCTCTCTCGCTCTCTCGCAAAACAATGCTATTTGTTGTTGTTAAACGCGCACCTTTGTTGTTGCATTCAATGGAAATTACACATTTTAAATGCGAAAAGAGAGGGAGAAAATGGGTGGCAGATGATCTGTTAAATCATTAATTTGTTTTATACAAAAATGAATATTTGTTAACTGTTTTATTTTTGGTTTTACAATTGTAAATTTAAAGTGTTAAGCAAACGTATTTTCATTTCAATTAAAAACACTTGCGGGCATTTTTACAGCCGCTTGTTTTTTTCACTTTGTTTATCATTCTCCCTTTCGCTCTCTCTCTCTCTCTCTCTCTCTCTCTCTCTTGCGCACTCACACATACATAGATAGGGCCTGCATACGCGGCATCTGTGTGTGTGTTACCAATTTGACATAAATTCAACAGCCGCGAGTAAATAGAACGAAAATGGAAGCCGCGTATTTTTTTCACGCATTCAATTTCGTAGCTGCAGTGACTTTATGTAATTCTGCGAGCTGAAGGAATGAATTAAAATCCTTGAAATTGCCTATGTAATTATGTAAAGGCATTTTTACATCGCCCCACTCCACACACACCAACTCGCACACAAACACACGCACGTAGAGAAAAATGGATTGCAGTAGAAACTTTTCACACTTTTTCGCACCTTTCCCCGCAAAATTTCCAGCTCTCTAGGGATCTACTGGCTGCAGGACACTCTGCAGCGGTGCTCCTCGTCCGCGAGGCACTGGTATTTCACTTTATTTTGCATATTTTCGCTGGCGTTCAGTCCAATTTCATCCGCACGAAGTTCACAGACCAAAATTTTGATGATTTTTGTCGATTAGAGGTGGGGAACAGCGGTGTCATCGATGTTTTTCCCCGACTGGTTGGGAACTTGGATGGGGAAATAGCTATTTCTTTCACCTCTAACGAGTGTTGAACAAATCGATAAATACCTATGTTTATATCGAATACTAACCACCTTTTTATCGTTCTGACCCATGTTTGGCAGTAATATTTGATGATTTTCCATTTGAACTTTGAGAATCTTAAGTCCAAGTTTAATCGTTTTAAAGAAGGTGCTTTTGCTTTTATTTTGAAATTTAGCTTTGAGCTCTTGCTATTTTTGTTTTTTTCTTAAGATACTTTTTATTATTTTTGTTTGTAGTTAGTTAATAATCTAGTTAAGTAGCCAGGAAAAACATAAATCTGTCGGCGAAATAATTAAATTAAATATTATGTTAATAACCAGGAAGAAAAACACTGTTTAATGGGCATAAAGACTCTAAACACAATACAAATTCTTTAACGACAGTTACTTATTTGATTGACAAATTCGGCGTATACGTTTACAGGGCTCTATAAAGTGTAAGCCCAGATCGACTGTTAAATTTTGCCATGGAGTTCAAAAATAAATACTAAGAATGACAAATATTACCCAAATACATATGTTAGACAGTTGGTTCAGAACCCGGGTATTTAGCAAGTTCGGGAACCAAAATCTTCAAGAGAACTTTGCTAAAAAGTGTGTCCCCAAGCAAGTCATTTTTAAAAGCTTACTGCTCTAACGGTTTTATACCCCCAAATTTGAAATTAAAAATGTACAAACTCCAAGAAGCTTCCAAAATAATTATTAGATTAAAAAACTATGAAATGCTCAGAAGCTTTTAATCTTTAGAAAGAGATGAAGACAGGGCAGGAGTAGCGATAACCCACCCCCCAAAAAAATTGCGCATCGCTGGGTGGCGAAAATTATTTCAATCGTTCCGCCCCGCTAATTTTCTCTCTTTCTCTCGCCTGCGCCCTCTCCTTCTCTAGAAAGCCAAGCAAAACAAAACAAAACGAGAACGCAAAACCGACAAAAACAAATACCTATAGGAAAGTGGGCTAGGCGGCTCTATAAAATAGTTTATGAGTAGTCGCAGCATGGCACTCAAACCCACCGGTCGACGCGTGCACATCGAATAAAATAATTGTATCTGTGCATTCTAAAAAATTTTGCCATAAACATTTCCACAGTCGCTTTCATAATCTTATCATACCGTGATAAATAAACAAAACGAAAACAATTAATTTGAAGGTCAAATAACAATTCATAAAAAATCAATGATAAATTGATAAGTTATCTAAAGCTACCATGTCTCTGGTAAGTGATTTTTTAAGTGTGTTATTTTGATTTTGAAAGGCTAGATTAGTTTTTTTCTTTATTTTTGTATAAAAAAGGACCAAAGATTTCATGAATTCTTAAAATTATTTAAACTCATACCTAGTGTGCAAGGGTTAATTTCCCTTTTCTAATATATTGCATACAAATAGGCGCCCCCTAACTCCCTCTCTCCTTTCCTACTCTCCTTTATTCTGATTTTTTTTCCACAACACTTTTATTTTGTTTCTCTTCATTCATGTCCTCACTCACATAAACACCCCTTGGAAAATGCACACGCACACCACACTCATCTCTCTGGCATTTTCCAGTCATTTCGAAACTGTGTGCAATCTAGAATCGTCCCTCTCTTTCCATTTACCTCCCAACCCGCCCCCTGAAACATATCTATCCTGCTCTGACGCACAAGGTCTACAATAGGAATATTATCTTACTTCACATTCCAGGTTCCTCCATTGTACCTTTTATCTTCGCCGATGCTGAGCATCGCATTTCATTCATGATGAAACCAACCCCACCCAATCTGGCAACCCCACCCACTCGTAGAACGCGACTAGCTAGAATTTTCCTATTTTTAATTACCGCTCAATGTCATTTCCATTTACAGAACAGCACTGCGTAGGTTCCCAAGATTGATGGGTTTTCGCTTATAGAATCAGCTGCTTACCTCACTCATTTTACTAGAACAAATATTTACTTACCTAGTTGCATCGCCATTGCGTCATCATGTGCAAGTCGTTGGCAACGAAATTTAGTACTCTAGAATTAGTAGATTAGAATCTTCTGGCGCCAAACGCTGTCAAAAAGATTAGACTAAAACAGATGGCACTTTAAAACAATTGTCATAACAATCTGTTATCTTTTCCTGGTAACAGTGTCATGACTAGCTTACTAAAAAAAACTTTACGAGTCTTACTCATAAAGATATCAACTAAACCGCAAGTGTTCCGACAATCCTCGGGTCCAATGTTTGAAATGTTAGCTTTACCCAGAAAATATATGGTAATTTATAGGTCACTAAAAAATATTTTTAAATTACTTTAAATTTGTTTCTGTTTGCCTGATATAATATGTAATATAATTGTCATAATAACCATAGTCGGTTTTGTAAAGATTCAAAATCCTTAAAAATACTTATCAAAAAGTAATAACCTGAAATATAAAAAAAGAATATGAACGTTATTAATTTTTTTTTTGTACTCTAGCAATGCCCCTTCATGAAAAAAGCCATTAAAAATATATATACGTAAGAGTTTTATTGAAAGGGACACATATGGTATTTACTGATAAGTAAAAGCCTGGAATTCCGAATTCCCCTGAGAATTCAACATCAATAAAGAAATCAAAAGCTTTATAATTCGAGGAATTCCAGGAAAACTATTAACAGGCAGACAAATGTAACCTCTTACATGACTGTTCTATTAAGAACTGCTTGCTTACATTCTGTATAAACTACATTTTACATCTAATAAGAAAGTAAAAAACGATCAGTTTTCTTTCCATCTTTATACTTACTTTGATCAGTATTTTATCTTTTCTTATGTGTTAGCAAAGCGAACTATCTTTTACATGTCTAGCAGTTTAAGTTTAAATATCAATTTTTTTTATATTTAAGAAAGCCATATGGTTTGGAGTTAGACAGAAGTTGTCAAGAACATAAGGAGTGATTAGCTAATATATTCGCTTTTTTTTAATAAATTGTTCTTTTTTATTTGTTGAAACTTGTTTTAAATTCTGTGATGCATTGTTTAAAGTATTTATGACTTAAGCTTTATTCGGTCATCTACCATTTTAGCCAAGACATCTGTGGATTAAAATGAATAGTTAAATGCTATATAGAATAGATCTATAGATAGAATCTCCATTTGACAGGAACAAATCCACAGGACAGGCTCATTATTGGGCTGTTCTAAACATGCCCCAAAAGATCTTGACAAAGGATCGACGGCAGCTGACGACGTCATGTGCCGCGCGATCCTTTCACTGGAAGCAGACACAATAAGGACGAGGGCCTGCCCCAGGAGCAGATGTTGGTGGCTCCGTTTTCGGCGATCCTCTGATCGGTTTATTGTTGCCTGTCTCGCTTGCAGCTGCCGGCACACGTCCGCAATTGTCGATCCAGTTTTAAGCCCTGATTGAGGCAGGTAATTATATAGGTAGGGATAGAAAAGGGACCGCCAGGCAGCACATGTTGTAATAGATAATAGGCAATCTAATCGAATCGTGCCCAACTCGCTGTTATGACACCTTTTGCCAATTGCCAAGCAAAAGAAGAGAATGCAAAAAAGGAAAACAGGTTTTTGGCCCGATGGCTGCATTTGGCTGTCAATTAAAAAACCACAGACAAAGTTACCAAAGCCAGCACAAAAACTACAGTCAAATGTCTGTTAGTTGAATCTCTGGTTGCTTTATAAAAATAAATTATTATCAATATTAAAAATTACCTCTCCCGGGGAAATAATTCGATACAGCACTAATTCCTAACGATTTAATACAATTTAAAAAGGGCCGTAACAAAAAGTTTTTACAGCATACTTTTAGACACGTTAAAAATTATTTTAAAGAACTAAAGTTTTAGCCCTTATATAATAATAACCTATGTTATTAATATGAATTTTGATTCATAGCAGTAGATTTTTTTTCGGTGACCAGTAAAATAAAGATAGTTTTCTTTACATTTTTTTAAGCAAACAAAATATGAGTCATGTAATTTGAATAAGAAAGTTTTTACAGATAAAAAAATATAGTGGGGTTTAGAAAATTCGTTGTAGAGAATTCGTACTGTGGATAAAATTAAAAGTATAGGTGAGCAATCAAAATCACAATAAACAGCGGCACCAACAAGAACGGGGCGAGTGCAACAACTTTAAAAGGCCTTGCAAGGCCGTTCGGCTCTGAGCCAGGGCTTTTTCAGCTTTAACTTGTCCGGCGACTCGAGATCCAAACTCTGTGTGGTCAGCGCAGTGATCTTTTGAAACAGAAAAAAAAAACACCGAATTGCCAGCGGCACACCACTCTGCCACCATCCGCAAATAGAATATATCGCCGCCACATTTTCGTTTAATTTCCACCAAAAGACCGCCTGCGATAGTGTCGCCTTGCAACATGTCAAAGTCGTCTAGACTCCGCATTTATAGGCAAATTTCTCAAATGCGTCGCGACATCTTCGTGGTAAATTTAGCAGCGTGTATTTATAAAATCCGAAAAGTTCAACCCGTTTGCGGGCGGACGCTATATGCATATGCACATGTCGCGCACTGTCGCTGAAGTACTTTCCATAAATGATTCAAACTTGGCAATCTTTTGTATTTCAGCACTCGAACGTGTCGGCATTTCCTTTGCCAATATTACTCAAATAAATGTGACTATGGAGCCATGTCATGGGTGCTTAATTAGAAAAGCATGTAGGACTTACTTAGATTAAAAAAATGTTAACTTATCGACAACCCAGTGCATTTGATTAGTTCTAAGAATATAGGGGTACGCTTACGTGCAAAGATCGTATCTTGAAAAGGAAATTACTGCATTGTTCAAAACAATGTTCAGATAGTAAATAAAATAGGAAAATAACAATAATTACGTATTTCTTTAATAGTCTACTCATTGAGTATAGTATTTATAAAGTATATTAACATTCAATAATTAAAACTATAATTATAAAAGAGGTTGATGTACTAAATTTACATTGAAGTAAAGAGATCTAGAACCAATATGCCATCAAACGACTTACCTTTAATTTTAGACAATATGTGTACGTGCAACAGCTGACCAGCAAAAAAATATTGTTTTTGTTCAACAAAAAAACTTGGTAGCAAGTAAAACAAAGAAATCGTACTTTCGACTAATTTACTAAAATAATCAGGCTGCTCTGCTGATAAGATTAGCTCTATCTAACTCTGGAAAGGATTGTTGATGTTTTTCTTTTTTTTTTTTTTTTTTTAAAGCCTATCTTTGATTTAAAGAAAAATTGATAAATGAATAAATTTGTTTTAAGCTTATATGCAATAAATTTTTTACTGGCGCAGTAAACTGAAGTCTATCGTACAGACAACACTGCAAGGTAAATATATAAATAAAATTCAAAATTAATAAATTTTTTTATAAGTATCTTATAAGTTTATAATATCTTGTTATTTTGAAAATTGGGATCTGGTTTAGCTTGTGGATAGTCCTTTAAAAATTGTGTTAAGTATGGAAAGGATATTGAAGTCAAAAGTGGATACATTTAATAGAACTCATCTGCTCCTGCCTTTCAAATGTGTTAGAAACAAAGATTCGTATCTGCAGCTGCTTTATGGAAACCGAACAAGAGACAGGTAAATCGTATTTCGGAGAGTGGGAAGGTAAGGGCGAAATGAGAGTGAGGTGCATACACAAAAAAACTGCAGCTGCTGTCTGCTCTGCTCTCCCTTCTTTTTCTGAGGCGTCTGGAAGGTGCATTGACACGCGCCACTTCTATATTTCGGCGCATGCTTTTCACTCTCTCCAGGAGCATAAAAATCAATGATCCTGGCTTCTGCTTCTGCCAGTGGGAAAGGGACAACCATACATCTAACGGTTTTACGGTTTTAACAGTTGTACTAATACTAGCCGTAGTACAACAATACTATGCACTTTCAGTTGCCAATTTAAATAGTTAAATTTGCACTAAATGCTGTATATGTATACACTAGCTGATTAAAAATAAATTTATTTGCGCTGCCTTCACAGGCTAAATGGGTTTGGGTTTCTACTTTGTGAAGGTTTTTCCAAAATTACAGCTGTGAAAAGGAAAGGCCGAATGAGCAACTGCAACTCGGGTTGTTTCGGCTTCGTTCGTCTGGTTCGTTTCTTTCGTCTCGTTCGTATCGTTCGTTCGCGTCAGTTCCGGATCGAAACTCAACACGAAAAGAAGCAATGGATTAGTGTTTGCGCGCTGTCTCGAATAAACTTATGCATTTAAAGCTAGAATAAAGTACAAAAATAAAGTATTTAACGGACTCAATTGTGATAGCTGGCTTTGTAATTGTTGCCAACGACAACAGAACGAAAACGATAACAGAGAACGTGTGATTGTCTAATTGTGACATCGTTGTGTTTTTCCGTTCATTTTGTTCACGGAAAATCAATAGTGACTGTGAAAGCGCATTATTGTACGATTTCCATATCGTCGAAGCACAGCGCAGAGGAAATTTCCAGAGGAAACTTGAGTTTTTCAAGAAAAAGAGAAAAGCCGTCAAGGTGAGCTGAAGTCTGTAGTGTATGGTGTAGTATTTTGTGTACCCTAAACGATTTTAACCCCAAAAAATTTAATGAAAACGTGACATCAGAAGGCAAAGAGCAAAGCTAAAATATATTTTTGTTTGCCTTGCTTGTACGTTCACTCACACACAAACACACACTATCTGGGGAAAAAAACCACACACGCGCATACAAGCATATAAATGTCCACAAGACAAAGTTGTTGATGTGGTTTAGTTGTAAATAAAAAGTTGTTTCCTCTAAGACCTATATATTTGAACGACAAAAATAAAGACAAGATAACATCAGTACATAAATGTTAAAAATAAAGCAAAAACTTTTAATTATATTTTCTGTAGAGGAGAGCGAAAACGTTTGCTTACTTTTCATAGAGGGGAGCGAAAACGTTTGCTTACTTTTCGTCGGGTGTCTGGCGTTTGTTTTGTGTTCCCGTTTCGTTAGCCCTGTCTCGCTCGCGCCTTCAGCAACGAGAGATTGTTTCATAAAAAGATGGCGACCGTAGAGTTGCTAAATACTTGCACTGCTGTTTTAACTTAAATTATTTACAAAATTTTTTAACATTTGTTTACCCGGAGAGTTCGGCGAATTTTTCTGTTTTCGTTAATACAAATGAAAATGACACACGATTGTTTGCACCGGTCTTTAGGCTAAAGAAACTTAAAACTTTCCGCCATATGGTAACCCTCTTTTCGCATTGAATGATTTCATTCGAAATTCCACACCCCGCAATTCCCTTGCGATCTTCAATGCTGTTTAAAAACAACATTCTCAATTGGGTATAATGTGGATGGTGGAGAATAAGGGGCGGTTTTTGTACCATACAATGCCATTAATTTTGTATTCATCCGAAAATTCGGACTACGCAATACGTTGTTTTTGGCTATAGATAAAATTAAGCGATGACTACAACATGCAAAATATTTTTGTCTACCCAATTTTTATCAGACTCGAAGGTCACCTTATGTGTCATCAATCAGTAAAGAACTCCATCCTGTTCTTATTAAATTAAATATTTTTATTTGGTTTAACACGGAGAAACAACAAGATAAAATTTGATCTGGTTCTATAACTAATACAACCTTTGTTTTTAGCACTGTCGTTTTGGGCTTACAAAACAAAATAATTATTAAATATTATATCAAGTAAAAAACATCGAATCAATTGACTTAGATTGTAAAGTTTTTTTCCGTGCATCGGAATAAACAGATGACGAGTCAGTTTACTCGGTATATACACATACTTTACTCCATACGATATACGATTACACTATGTGTAAGGCACTTCCTCCTTTACGCACACACTCACTCGCATAATCCGGCCCAACCCACCACCACCACCGATTCCGGACTATGGAGCATTAGCTTCTTTGTCTGGCACATCCGTTGCCAACGGAAGTGGTGCACTCATGCGTGTTTTCCACTCTGCAGAAATGGAGAGAAAAACTGGCGAAGAATAATGGTTATATGTCGAGAAACCATGGCCACAGAGACGATTTAAAAAAACAGTTTGAGCTGTTGCCAATTTTCACTATGCTTCTTTTTCGCGCCGACTGCAGTTTTTATTTTTTGCGCACTGTGCCGCTTTTTATGCTTCATTACTTTGAACTTTTGCGTTCATTTTTCGCCGAACAAAGAGAAAGTCTCGCCAGTCTCTTAGTTTCTCAATTTGAGCCGAGCTTTCGTGTTCAGCTCAATACAGTCCAACTCGCGTAACTCAAACTTCCCTTCTCGGAACATACTGTAACACAAATAAACTTGAAACAGGAACCCTAAATGACGAATGGACTTAACCAAGCTATGGCTGTCTGTTCAATAAAACTTGTCATTTAAAAATGTAGCACAAATATGCTTCTTTGGGGCTCGGAATAACCTTAAATTCAGAAAATATATGTTTTATTTCGAAAAGCAAAAAAAAAACCGTTATAAAAATTTCTATGTTTGTTGTTTACATATTTGTTGGTATTAAACATTATTTTAACAAAATCAAACATATAAATGGTTCTTCTTATAGGGGTTCGAGATATATGGTACTTAATGCCTGTATTTTTCGCTGCAGTGCCATAACTTTTTCCATTATCGCCGCACCCACACACCAAACCATCGACGGTGGTCCCTGCGCCCACATTTCCAACTCCCACGAATCGGATCGAGACGAGTCGAGACAATTCGTTAATAAAAACGATAGATAAGGTGCTTAATAAACAACAAACAGTTCTCACGTAAACGCTGGGAGTAGAAGAATTTTCCCGAAAATGGAATAGATCTATTGTCTTCTCTCGTCTTCCTAAGATCCATTTGTTATCGCCAGCAGACGCGACGGCAATCAGCACATGAATGGAATGGCCCAAGGCGGCCCTTGAAAGAGGAGATGGAGATGGAGAAGAGAGCCCCGGACAAGACTAAGCATAAGATGAGGAAAATTACATTTCGGAATTCCCGGAATTCTCGATGCTCTCAAGCTGAATCATCATCCATCTCGTCGCCAGCTCGACCTTTGAGCCTGGGCCGCGTGAAAAACGACCTTTCATCCATTATTTCCACTAACGAGGCCCCCCCGCCTCGGTTCTCCTGATTTCCTCACTTTTCCATGAGATCGTACCCACATTCCAAGTCCCATAGAGATGCTGCGAAGATAAATGTTTTGCCCTCTCGCTCGCACACGACTTGACTTTGGGTTTGAGAACAATTTTCCTTTGGTTTTCCTAGGAAAAATGCTGGCGGCGTCGGCGGTTCTAGGGCTTTGAACTAAGCCGCCGTTAGTTTTTTTTTTTTGGACAATCGATCAATGTTCAATAGGGAAGAGAGAGAGAAGAAAGAGTATAGCCGAGCCGATCTTAATGCATTCCTTAGCAGCTCGGATCGGGGCGCATTTATTATGATTACAATATTGCCCTTTGTTGGCCAGCCAGCATCCCAGAATTGTTGGTGTTGTTCTTATTGTTGTTGTTTCATCTCTCTGTTTTCTTCTCGTATTATCGACGTCGGCGGTCGTTTTGTTGCTGCATTTCTTGGAAGGCCACAACACGCACGCACACACTCGCATGTAGTACGCACATATAAAGATCATGCAAGAATGTTCTTTGTGTGTGTTGCATTTATTTATTTTTCTGCATCCTCCTGCATGCTTCTTCTTTTTCTTCAGATTCTTCCACTTTGAGATCTTCCTCTTCTTGAGTTCTGATCACGATGACGACTCATGCAGCAGCAGCACCAGCAGCAGGAGGGGTATCTTCCCTCTCCTTCTGCTCCCCTCCCCTATTTTAACCCCAGATTGGTGTTGTTTTTGTTGTTCTTGTCGTATCTGGTATCACCGCATTCCAATCTCGGTTTTTTGTCGAAGACAACAACAAAAAGAATGGTAAAGTGTTTATAATAGTTTCCCACAGTCGAGCTCATGTCTCCGGGGCTCTCAAGGTATAATCAAAACAGCTGTGGTCAATGTTCTAGTACTAAAGAAATTTGTTCGGAAAAGATACCCAATAAGCTGCAGAAGATATAGACAATTTAATATTCCATATTAAAAATCATCTACCCTTTTCACAATATTGCTTAAACGGTTAATAAGTTGCAAGTATAGGCAGATAAAACTTATATTTAGAAAACATGTTTTGAAGCTTCTATATCCGTTTATTTTAGGATTGGGAAATCAGCTGGGTGCTTAAGCTACTGCTGTTGCAGTCCTATTTCTTTGCCCTCATCTGTAGTTACAGAAGGCAGACCTTTTCCACGGCTTTGGACCTCTGCGGTTACCTTCACTTACTACAACGATAACAACAGCAAAACTCCAATCACTTGGGCTCAGCTTTACTTACAGACTGGGAACGGAATGACACTGGCCTGGCCTGGCTTGGCTTGGCTTGTTCCAATCAGAAAACTCGAAAGGCAGCTCCAACTACCATACCACTCCACTCCAACCCAACTCCAACTCCAGTTTGATTTTCTGTGGCGGAGTTTTGTAGAAAAGTTGCCCGACTGCATTCCATTGTAGGTTCGTTCGGTTGGTTTTGGTCTTGTCTTTCGTGATCGTTTGTTCTTTCTGTTTTTCTTTTTATTCAGTTTTCTGTTTGTTGCCTTGCCTTGCCTTGCCTCCTGGGCCCAGCCTTTTGCTTTGGCCTTTGATTATGATTTTCTTTGCTGTGGAGTGTGGTATTTTCTTCTGGTCTCTGGGATCGAGCGTTGTTGTTGTTGTTGTTGTTCCCATGCGCCGCCCAGGAGGCCTTGTCTTTTCAGTCGGTCTTCGGTTGGTGTTGGGTGAAGGCGCTGCTCACGGTACTCCATCGCTCGATTTATTGTAGTTTCTTGTCTACCGCACAACTAAATTTTATTTTTAAAATAAAAATTAATTTCAAAAGTGTATCGAAATTGTTGTGTTTTGTACGAAACTGGTAAGTGCGAAAATACCCTGCATATTCAGTGAATGCAAATGTCTAGCCTTTGAACTTTCCACGCGATTTCCTGATAGCCCCGGCTAAATTCCAATAGTCGGTTTACATTACAATAGTTAATGGGTTTGGCATTCCACAATAACAAATAACAGACGTCGGCAGAGGCAGCTGTTATTGCACTTTGTACTGGCTAGAGAAGCAAAACAAACAATAATGAGGGAGGCGAAAAAAGATAGAAGTTTCGATGCTTATGGGGGAGAAATATTACCATGGATTGATATGAAACTTGATGGGATCATATATAATCTTATAATTAATCCAACTTCAAAGTATCTACAATCTATCTTTACGAAGGGCAATGATATTAAAATTTCAAGCTTAAAAACCTATACTTCAAAAAAGAAGCAATGGTTCAGACATTGGATTTACACTGAAAAGAAGAATGTAAATTCTTGCCAATAATTCTGGGAACAATTGCAATACCTCATATAGAGTATACAAATTGCAATTACAATTGCAGACAGCATCTCAAGCTTTTGGTGTGCGTGTCTGTGTGTTGCTGGCTGCTCCACTTCAAAAACAATGCGCAATCTCTGCACAGAAACAGACCCCCATCTTTAGCATCCCCCGATCCAGCAGCATCATCATCAGCTAGCTCCTCTATATATCCCGAGCTCCAGAAGTCAGCATTTGTAATTTACAATTGCTTTTGTTTTTGCTGCACTCTGTGTGTACTTTTTTTTCTGACTGGAGCTCTGCGCTCTGCACTCTGTTTTCCCTGTGGTTTAGTTGTTTTTCCCATTGATGGTTTCGTCTTGGCACCACATGGCCGTCTCGCTTACTCCGCCAGGCTTCCAATATGCATTTATGCTGCGCTTTATGCTGCAAGTCGGGCTCCATGGTGGTGGTGGTGGTGGTGCTGCTGCAGTCGCCGAGTGCGCCGTCGCCAGAGTGGTTTGACTGCATTCCATTAAAACTTTCTCACAGTCGGCTAGCTTGCAGTGCTCCACAGTGCATGGCAGTGCCAGCTAACCTAAACCACCTCCCCCCAGCACCACCATCATACCATATCCCCAACCGCCCGATCCGTTGCAATTGTTTGGCGAGTTTGGCTGGTTTGTGGTTGAAATTTGGACTTTGAACGGAGCCCCAACTCAGCGGTCGTGCTGAGTTTTTGCTGTTTGCTGGTGGCCCAGGCGAGAAAATGTCGAAAAACGGCTGTACAATCTCTTTGGAGGAGACCACCGCAGATACTGTTTAGGTCCCCAGGCAGCGTTGCGATTGCCAGCGATATTGCGGCCATTGATAGGAAGCCAGTTTTTGGTGATTACCGAAAATTGTAGTCTTTATCCTTATGCGGAAAGTCTTTCTTAAGAAGTCCCTTTATTAAAAATTTTAATATTATAAAAAAAATCATCCAAAATAGTTTTGCATTTGGCCCTTAAAAAGTAACTAACTAAAATAACTATTTTTGACTGCGAATTATTTATTATGCATATCATTTTATTTCGATAGGCAATTACAGATAAATTCTTGAAACAAAAAATGTGAATGCATTTTTTTATTAGGTTATCGTATAAGAACTGAATATTGTATAGAACTGATAAATCCCATATTTACTGATAAATACACTTAAGAGCAGCGTTCCATATATGTTTTTCCTGTCATTACTATAATTGCCAACTCACCAAATGACGAGCAATTGAAATCGCCGTGTGGGTTGCCTTCCGATTAGCATACTGTTTCAGTAGTTGTCGTACAAGTTTTTGCTATTATTATTGAAATTATTGGCTCGGTGAGTCAGATCGAGAATGGTGGTTATCGAGCAACGTCTGGCTGGCGCCACCCACTCACCCACTTCCTCCCAAACCACCACCCACCCACTCACCACCCACTGCTGGTCTGGGTGCAAAATACTAATACTCACTGCGATTCGGCGCACTGCAAAAACGAGCGGTAGTAACATTGCGTACTCTATACACTACGTATACTTTTTCAGTCGCAGCTCGGGAGTTTTCCCCGAAAGGAAAAACCACCCTCGGCTCGAGTGCGAGCGGGACAACCGCTGTGTTTTCCCATCAGCTAAGGGCTCTTAAAGTTCGTTGATGCTGCATCTCCAGTTTCTTGAACTGCGTTTCAGTTTTTCCCTGCATTGTACATACACAGTTTGAAAAACGTAGAAGTGCGACGAAAAAGTGTCTGAAGCTTTCTCTAAAAAATATTTTATTTCACAAATAAAAGGTATTTATAAAGCGATAAAATGATAAAGCGATTTTTATAACAAGCCATAAGATAGGAAAATCTTTGTGCTCAGTCTTAAAACCCTGGCCAAGATAAGGACATTTTTTAGCAATATTAAAGTTAGTCATGCATTAAATAATGGGCCACATTATTTGTTCTTAGGAATTTTTCTCCGTACAATTTTTTTTTACGGAGTAAAAAAACCCAATTTAAATCTTGAAATGATATGTCAAAAAAATTACTCATGTTTTTGCTTACTTTTCCTAGAATCACTAAAATAATAAGTACATTTCTATGACAAACCTTTTTTAAGTAAAAAATTCAGTCATGCAGGAGGGCACTAACATTTATATGAACTGGCCACGCTTCCATCCCTAATTGCTTATAAAATATTTTTCCGTTCCCATTGACGTCTATCTATTCCGTCGACCTTATCAATGATTGCTTTCAAAACAACCAGTCGGGCAAGTCAGGGCACGGGTCTTTGAACATTTCAGTATTTATTGGCCGGCCAGTTGTTGAAGCGCATTCTATACGATGGGTAGAGCTGCAATCGCGTAGTACTCTCCAGAAGGAACTGTTCAGGGTGTTTCGAATTCTCTAGGTGTAGGTAGTACAAACGTATCTTTATCAGGTTGATAAACCATATCTCCTCGACGTACACGATTAACATTTATATTAATGGCATACCTTGTTTTTTAATCTTTTAGTTTCGAGCAGTCGGTGAAGAAGCATTTAAGGATCTACAATTCAGTGGAGATAAGAACAACCAGAAGGCAAAATGGCAAATGTGGTAACCAATCCCCGGTACACTTACAGACCCGCAGTCCTCGACCTAACAGCGGCGGTAGCCGATCAAGTGGACAACAATACGAACGCGACGCAGCTGTTTAAGAACAACATCTACAATATCATGAACCTATCCTCGCTAAACAGCGAGGAGGCGCGCTTAAAGACCTTCATTAACTGGCCGCTGGAGTGGCTGGACAAACGCCAATTGGCCCAGACGGGCATGTTCTACACAAACGTCAACGACAAGGTTAAATGTTATTTCTGCGGCGTGGAGATCGGGTGCTGGGAGCGGGAGGATCAGCCGGTGCCGGAGCATCAGAGATGGTCGCCCAACTGCCCGCTGCTGCGCCGACGCACCACCAACAATGTGCCGTTAAACGGCGAGGCACTGGATCGCGTCCTGCCGCCGATCAGCTACGATATCTGCGGTGCCAACGACTCAACGACGGCGGTGGAGCTGCGGGAGCATGCCTACGCCGAGGGACGCATCCCCACGTCACACCTGATCCAGTCGATAGGCGTGAATACGGCGAATGCGGCAGCCACTGTCGCCGGAATCGCAACCCCGCCGCCGATGAGCTCGATCGCCACCCAGGCGTCGACGGCCACCCAGGCCAATGGCGATGTCCAGCCGGAGTCGTGCCGCGCCCCAGCCGCCAGTGGCAATTATTTTCCCGAGTATCCCGAGTACGCCGTGGAGTCGTCACGCCTGCGCACCTTCGAGGCGTGGCCGCGGAACCTAAAACAGAAGCCCCACCAACTAGCCGAGGCGGGTTTCTTCTACACGGGCGTTGGAGATCGCGTCCGCTGCTTCAGTTGCGGCGGTGGTCTCAAGGACTGGGACGACAACGACGAGCCCTGGGAGCAGCACGCCCTGTGGCTCAGCCAGTGCCGTTTCGTCAAGCTGATGAAGGGCCAGCTCTACATCGACACGGTGGCCGCCAAACCGGAGCCAGCCGACGAGAAGGAGGAGAGTTCAACAATAAGGTCCGAGTCGGCCAGCAGCCAATCGGTGACCAGCAGCTCACCAGCATCGGACGAGGCTTCGGAGGCGGCCAGTTCGGGGGATGTGGTGCCCTCCTCGGTGGCCGGCACGGCCACGGCAGCCACCCGCATCTTCGACAAGATTCAGGAGGCGACATCGACAGCAGCAGGGTCACTGTGTGCCAGCAACAGCGGCTCATCCTCCTCCATACCCGAGGAGAAGCTGTGCAAGATCTGCTACGGCGCCGAGTACAACACGGCATTCCTGCCCTGCGGCCATGTGGTGGCCTGCGCCAAGTGCGCCTCCTCCGTGACCAAGTGTCCGCTGTGCCGGAAACCCTTCACCGATGTGATGCGTGTATATTTTTCTTAAGATACCTAGCCCTCAAATTCAAATTCAAATTTAGCGTTAACATGACGAAAGGCATCTCAAGTGTTAATCAAAAGTATAAGAGAAAATCTTGGTTCAACCGGCGATCGCAACGGCCAGCTGTTGGGCAGCCCGGCAGCTGGCCGTTGCCTTTAGCAAGAAAACGAAGCCTGCTAGATATCGTAAGAATCCAATGTAATATTAGTTTAGGGCAGCACTTGTATGCATTATTTATAATAAAACTAACATATTACCGTACAAGCAATGTCGTTGTTTGTCATGTGGGTGTGGGGATACATTACAAAAGGCCTCGATGAGCTCACACCCAAGTCCGGAATATCATCGAGGGGATTCACAAATGCCGATGGGGCACCAGACCAATCACCCAAGGAATGAGCTGGCTTGGTTTAGATTGTACTATCTATATATGAACCATTTTATTTAGAATTCTAAATTCTCAAGGAAGGTCCTGCTCCTCCTCCTTACGCCAACCTGGACATATGCGATCCAAATATGGGGCACCGCATCCAAGCACCAGCTAAACAAGCTGGCATCCGGGCTTCCGTGGTACGTAACAAACCAGGCCATCCTAAACGATCTGCGACTTGTTCCTATGGGCGACCTCCTCAACCAACACAGCCAACGGTACTCGGACAGGCTAAGGAACCATCCAAACCCACTGGCTAGCAGACTGACCGACCCACAATCTCTAAGAAGATTAAAGAGATTCCTCCCCAGCGATCTGCCTTTCCGTGTTGTACAATAATTTTGTAATCCTTGTTAACAATTTGTAAATATGTGTAAATTTTTGTAAATAATTGTATATAGTCTAGGCCCATATCCCATGTGTACCATATATATCCCATCCTCCAAACGACCGGTTATGCTCAGATGGCCCTGAACGATTCCGGCGACAATAAAAATTAATAAAAAAAAAAAAATAAAATACAAAATTCTAAATTCAACCGTTGAACCCATCGATAATGCTATACAAGCCACAGTTTAAAAGATAGCTTCGGGCCAGAGGACAAAATGCATTCTTTTTATTTTTTTCACCCACATGCCAAATTTTTTATTGATCGGTGATTTTAGTCAGATTCGTTGATGGTCGTTCCCCGAAAAGTATGCAAAAATTTTGATAGTTAAGGATGGGTTATTTTGTAATCGTGACTACATTTTAGCCTTTATACTTCATAACATTGATAAATTGTCTAACAAAGTGAAAGATAACAGGCTTTCATATTTATATTATCTATAAAACAGGTGGCGCAGGCACAAAATTATCAGTAGGAAATTCACATTTTTTATTTTTTTTGTATTAAAAAGCTTTTAGTTTTTGTTTTTAGGTTTTTCTTGTCAGAAGATGACAAGGTTTTTAACAAAGAAACTGTGATGCGATGTGTATATTTAAATCTACAGACAATAAAATTGCAAAATACGCGACGGGCGCTTGATAAATATTTTTCAGAACGGTTGTTTCATCAGGGATTTTGAAATTTGCGATAACAATGGCCTTAATATATGCACGTGCTAATACCCTTTGTTGGAGTAGACTTAAACGAAGAGGCTCTTATCAGTCATTGGGTTAATACGGCAATTAATCATCGCCCACGTCTAAGCAAAGTGCATTCAACTGCAGTAACAACTGCAGTGATGTGTGCTGTGACAATCTTGTCTCTTTGTTGTCGCTGTCAAGCCTTAAAAATGCTGAATTTTCAGGTTTTTGGACGAGTTGTTTTTTTTTTTGGAATCTGAGAGTTCGGATTTAAGCGTTTTCCAGCTCATCAGACAAACTCGCAGTGCAGTTCAATTAGTTTAGCGCGATCGGACAGATCCGGTTTCGGATTAGCCAAGGTGAGAAATACTGCACACCCTCCGAATGGTTGCATCACTCCAATGTGCATATAGATATGCAATCCATTCGATTGCACACGTGCCGGATAGCAGGCTTTATAAAATTTATAATTATGAAATGCCATAATGAATGAAACATTTGCCTGAGTCATCTGTTCCTAGAACTGAAAGGAATGTCACTTGCTATTTACCAGTGGGCTGCAAATATTAGACATCATAACTGGATTGGCATTTGACAGTCGATATTATGCAAATTGCTGATCTAGATTCATTAGCGAGTGATCGTAAAAAGTCAGACACTGACCTTAGATTGCGTGAGGTTTACAATTAGCAGGCGAAGGCCCCAGCTAGAACTGCCTTCAACTTGTGTGAGAAACTACAATTATTCACCCAAGCTCAATTAAAATTAGAAGTGCAAATAAAACAACAAATAGTAAATACAAAAATTCTTGAAAATTTTCATAGATTTAAGTTTAACGGTTATGAATTGGTTTGTATCTTTGAAGGTAAGGTTTAATGCTAAGATAAATTTGGTTTGGAAATTTGGTGGAGCTTTTTTCCTTGGGGTTCATTTACTGGCTGTTTTGGTTTGTTTGTTTGCTTACAAGGTTCGTGAATTTGCTAAACGTCTCGGTTCAAGCTTTTACCAAAGTGGTTTTTGAATCAACTAAGGGACTGTCCACTTTTTTAATAATCTCAGTATAACATACACTGAGACAGATTTCAGCAAAATTAATAACCTTGCTTCTTAAAATATCGTTTATTGAAATTTAGAATTAAAATGAAATACTAACACAAATTCAAAATTTCCAAATTAATATAATCCTCGTTGGCCATTATAAACGCCTTGTGGGCATTCACTTGAATGGCTAGATCCACAATATTGGTATTGCTGAAATAGTCCATGGCAACGACATTGGCATTGTTACCCCAAGGACCTTTAAGCCACTGATTAACCTTGGGATTGAGCACCGCCGCCCGCTCCTTGGCCGTCTGCAGTTGGTGGGTGTTCAAGGTCTGCTCCATACTCCTCACCGCGGTGAATATCCAACCATCGTCGCGCACCGGCGAATCTGGCTTTTTGCTAAAAAGCAGACGCATATAGTCCAGTGTTTGCGAGATGTTCATGAAGCTGGTGCTGAAGCGTCGCCATGGCGGACAGATCATATTCGATTCTGCAAAATATACTCGGTTAAAGACTCATAAAAATAAAAAGTTTCTACACATTCGTTTGCTTAAAAGCAAGTCATTGTTCAATAAATATATCAATTTTCTTTTGGTTTGTTTTGAAATGAAATTATATCCTTTCCAATAGATCCAATATTTGTACAATTATACAAAATATTTAAAAGCCAATGTGAAAAAAAGGTAACTCGCAATATTGGCCAGTTTTAGTTTTCAGGATTAAATTGTTTAGACATATGGACTTTGGGGTCTGTTTTTAATCATTTCCTTAAATTTCATATTAATATGTTTGGTTCATCTTCTTATTATATTCATTAATTTGTTGTAAATTAAACTTCTGTTTTGATCTCCATTATTAACTAGCCGGCTTACCATTTTCGGGATAAGGCAATTCCTGTTTGGGGAACAGAATCACCAGATGTCTATTCTGCTGCAGTAGCTCCCGGAAATTGCGGTTAGCACAGTGCTCGTCCTGGGTGACATTGCGCCGATAGGCCACATCGCCCAGCTCCTGGCGAAGAAGTCGGAACAGTGAACTGTAGATCTCCGGGTGCTTGTAGAACCCGATCGGAAAACTACTGAAATCCAGCACTATCATCTCCCCAGATCGCTTGACAAACAAACGAACATCACGGAGTATGGCGACCAAAGGTGTTATAAGCATGTTCTCGTTGGCAACCCAAAAGTTGTCCGCATCATTTTCGGTATTCATGTTCTTGTAACTGGCAGAGAAAAGAAGAAATTATTATCTATAATCATATTCTAATCTAATACAGGAGATTAAAATAATATATATTCATTTCTTTACATTTTAAAATTAAGTAAGAAAGTAAGTTTAGATTTAAAAAGAAAGTTCCTAAAATCTCATTATAATATGGTCAAATTTCATAAACTCTTAATTTGAAGTGAATTTATGTTTTTTTGGTTAAGGAAGTACATATTTTCCAGGAAATCCATCTGTCTTAAACTCACCCAATGCTGAAATCCAGATAGCGGATGCCAAATACGAGCTGGGACCAAACATCGAATTGCTGAGCCACCAGATAGTCTCTGACCAGAATCGAATTGGTTTTGTTGGAGCTACCGACGAAGGCACCCGAGGCATGGGTGCCCGGCAGAAAGATGTTCTTCAGGGGCATCTGACTAACGTCCTTGATCTGGGATATCCAGTTGGGCTGTATCTTGAGACAGTCCACGGTGAGCAGCTCAGTGCCATTATAGCTGGCCACGAAGTGAGCCAGACACTTGCCCGTGGGATATCGGATTGCAGGCTGATCGCCGGCATCCTGTCGATTCCAGCCACCAGGAAAATGCAGCTTACCCAGCTTTATTGGCGTTATCATCTTGCCCGTTCTATTGGCAATCCCATCGATACGGAATTCGGGCTGAAAATTGGAGATTGTCGGATCCTGGCCGTAGATGCCAACCCACTGGGGCGGTCCATAGCAATTGGGACCCCAATTGACCTCCAAAAAGGTGTCCTGCAGGGTCTTGCCAGTCAGCGAAACGGTGAGAAAAACAGGGCAATTCGCTAAAAAGATTAAAATTAGAACTTAATGTAACGTACGTGAATGACCCATCTAAATTCAATTTAAACTTAATTGAATTTTCTTAATTAATTGTGTATTGTCTTAATTAATAGAGGTAAATAAAAATCAACTACTATTTCGCAAAATTGATTATGAATTTGAATACTTTTTTAAATAACAGTGTACATCAAATTTTTAGTGTACAATGTAATATATGCTTAATTGGTATTTTCAGTATCACTTTAACCGCAAATGTTCTAATAAATTAAATTTGTATATTGATTCTGTTTTCATTATTACAAAACAAAATTTTGTATCTGATTGATGGTATTTTACCTTCCAGGGAGCCAATTAGCATAATTGACTGTAGCAAAGGCACAACTAATATTTTCATTTTGATCATCTTTAAACTTGACACTCAATTAGAAATTACGTGCACTTTGAATGGATTTGGCGTGTTGTTCGCTCGGCAGCCAGTGCCGAATTGAGGATAGAGATACATTTCTCTGCGTTTGTATCTCGTTTTCCGACAATTGAGGCAAATGCCACAACCCACCTCCCCACACATACCCTAACCGCCTTCTCTTGAGCATTGTAATTGAGCGTTTTCGCATACCCAGCTTTGAGATCTTTGACCTGGAAGAGAGAAGTCCGAATTTCGGACTAAAACCATTTACTGTTCTAGATAATACAATTTATTATCGCAAAATTTATTTATTGAATTTTTTGATTTACAGATTGATACAGTTTCTAAAATTTTCAAAATATTTCAATTTGCAAGCGCAATTAGATAATATTTATTATTTTGTTTAGAAGTTGCACTCATCGTTTTAAAAAGTAGGAAAATTATACTGTGGGTTTCTATGTTTTTTCCCTATATATTTATTTTTTAAGTACATCCAAAAGTTGCTATTATAAATCTTCGAAAATTAAAATCGTTTTAGTTTTGCTTTTTATGAATTTGCATTGGGTCAGAAAAAATACCGGAAATATGCTTGTGTTTTTTGTTTATGTTCGTCGAACGCAGGCACGTTGACAACTGACCAAAGAGCAGTAGCGGTTGTGGTTGCCACCACATCCGCGGTACTGCATCTTAATGCATTGATTTGAATGGTGGTTATAGTACCACATCTCGTCATTGGGGTCCCGAATGCAACCATGCAGATAGCGAACTCCTTCGTCCTTGCCGCCCCAACAGTTCTGGGGTTCTATTTGTAAAAGAATTCAATATAAAGTTCAGTTACATTTTTAGCTATCCATGATTGGACTTACGAGGACGTCCCGGGCAACTTTGTGCGAAGGTGAGGGCCACATAGAGGACCAGGCAGGACAAAATCAGAATGAATTTCATTTTAAATGGATTCTTTTCAAGTGATCGATTTGAATTGATTTCCTATAACTTATGCGGCGCTTATATAAGGGCATAGCGGCAACACACATGGATAATCACTAAAAAAGTCGATCACACCCACGTGCCCAATCAAAAGCTCAAAAACAATTGAATTCATTCATATTCTTATATTCCTTTTTAATTTTAGTGGGCTCCATTAAATGGGTTGCACGTGCATTTTTATGCTCTATTCAATAACTCTAGGGTTTTTAAATATTTTGGGTCAAAGCTGTGTTCTACTTGGCTATTGTTGTTGAATGAACAACCAATTCGTTACAAAAGTGATACCCAGAAATTAAAACCTCTGAAAAGTAAACAAAATCAAAGCCACGATTTACATATATACACAGAAGTTTTATTATGCAGAAGTTTAACTAAGTTTAAGTTGGAAAGTAAAAAAAATAATAATTAGTAAAAACAATTAATTGTAAAAAATATTAGAGAGCAAGAGGTCTATGAAGTTAGTAAAAAATTATGAGGTAAAGCTCTGTGCAAAGTAGAAAACGATAATATGGTTTTTGAACTTGTATTTTTCCAATATGTATTTGTATAAATATACATATTTATATATCTATCTTTCACATGATAGATTAACTATACAATCTTCTCATTTATTTTTAAGTTTCAACGGCATTTGTTTTTACACTCCGTCTAAGTACAGTATTCGGGTACGACTTAAAAATGTTTTAAGTTTAAAGTTTTTAACTACCTTAACTTCCGGGGCAACGCAACCGAGCATTGCTAGCAGCCATTAAAAAAAACAGGTAGGCACAAATTCAATGTTAATATATATTTTTTGATTGCTTGGCGTTATACATTCATTCCTCTGAATAGAATTGTTGCATGATATAAATCTTTATAACACTTTGTTCTTTCAGGGCAGTGGTATACTTTCCCTAAATTATTATTTATAAGACAATTGATGATTTTTAGTAAGCTTACATCAATTGTTATAATTTGTTTCTGGTCATTATTTTATGCACCTTAACAGCTAGTCTGCTAAATTTATAGCAAATGTTAAAATAGGTTAGGGAAAATTGGTTGTAAAAATAAAAAAATACAACAATTTTTCTTCAAGGAATCGGGTTATTTTTTTTTATTTCAGTTTAATAAGAGTTGTAATTTCAGTTTAATAAAATGTTTAATCGTGTTGTGCAGTCAAATAATATTATTACTTTATGCTATGATTTAGTTTCGACCAGGACATGCCCGCTCACAGCTTTGTTGGGTGCAGTAGCGATTTTTGTTGCCGTAACACCCTTTGTAGCTCATCTTCAGGCATTTCCCAGTAGTCCTGTTGTAGTACCACATGCTGTTATTTGGCTGAGGAGTGCACTGCGGTCCTCCGCGAGCTTGCCTGGGAGCTCCTTCATCCTTACCGCCATTGCAGTTCTGGCCATTCGCTGTTGAAATTGAGTTTAATTTAACTCTGTTACTGTTAAAGGTTTCGAGGCTAAACTTACGAGGAAGTCCTTGGCAAGTCTGAGCCGAGATGAGGGACACACAAAGGATAAGGCAGGACAAAACCAAAAGAATTTTCATTTTCAATAGTTTCTTTTCAAATAATCGCTTTGAACTGATTTCTGAGTTCAAAGTTGGAGCTTAAATAGTAAAATCAGATATATAAACTGGTTCTGCGTGGGGACCATTTTATCCGCAGTATCGCTTTTCAATAAGAAAGAGACAATGGAATTTATATTAAAAGAATAATCAGATGCTTTTACGCACCTTTTGTTTTTGAGTTCCATTAGCAGTTACGTCAACAGTTCAGTTCACCTAAATAAACAGTTTAAGTGTTTTATATCCAGAGAGCAGGGTTATTAATTTTATAATATTTAACAGTTCGTTTTGTCGACGTTTTTTTTTGTAAAGATGGTTTTTTGTGCCATATGGAATAAAAAGTCAAAAAATCAAGTATATAGATAAATAAATTGAATCCGTTTCCTATATTGCTTTGTAAATACTAGTTCGTTTTAAATTTCAATCAAATTTCTTCTTTTAAGCTTAACGGGAAAAGAAATACCAGACTTTTGGCCAAAAAAATGAGCCAACTGGTCCACTGAGTTTCCATAAAACTACTTTCACCTTATTTTTATTGAGAAATTTTTATAAACTTACATAAAATGCTTTTATTTGGTTCTGAAACTTATTCAACTTATTATGTGCAAATTTTAGCAATTTACTCAATCGCACGATTGTGAGAATATGAAAATGCGCCTAAATTTCAAGTTCCAGAATTAAGAATAACTGAGAATCGTACTGTTGAAAAATACCGATAATTCGAATTTGATTTTATTAATTAGGAGTCAAAATTTAAATTTATTAAAATTGTAAGATTTTAATTGTAAATATATTGTTTAGTTTCGAGAATTACGGTCGTGGAGGGCATGCATTCTCACAGCTTTGCAAGGTGCAGTAGCGATTTTTGTTGCCGTAACACCCTTTGTAATTCAACTTCAGGCATATTCCAGCAGACTTGTTGTAGTACCACATGCTGTTATTTGGCTGTGGAGTGCAACGCCCTCCTGCGGAAGTTTGCCTTGAAGATCCTTCGTCCTTGCCGCCATCGCAGTTCTGACCATTTTCTGTTTGAAACAAATTGAAATCAACATTTAACTTAGTTTATGTTAAGGATTTCGGGCCTAAACTCACGAGGGAGTCCTCGGCAAGTCTGAGCCGAGACGAGGGCCACAAAGAGGATCAGGCAGGACAAAATCAAAAGAAATTTCATTTTTAATGGTTTATTTTCGAGTGACCGTCTAAAACTGATTTCTGGATGTAAGGTTGCGGTTCATATAGGGGGAAATCGGCTTTACTCCACGTATACGATTTCATGCGCATTGCCGATTGTCAATAAGAAATACACAATGCTATTTATTTTGAAAAGGAAAAGCAGATGCTTATGCACAATTTTGTGATATACAAAAGCTTCAACAGTTCTTTTCACTCAAATAAATATTTGTAGTGTTCTATAAGCAGAGACCATATCAGTTATGATTTTTTAGAAATTTAAACAATTTAACATGTTGAAGCAAGCCTTTTTACATTGAACTTCTTTTTTATTGTTGTAACTTTGTCGTAAAACTATTTTGTACAGCTAACGATCTTTTCGAATTTCAATTACATTTAATAGGATTTTATCAAGGTATTTGCATAGCTAAGGCTTAAATAATGATTTGGTTCGTCAAGAAGAAGCGGACTTAATGTTTAAATAAAAATTGAAAAAGTTGTTGATGATGTTACAAATTGCATTTGTGTAATTTTCGACTTGAACTTGAATATTTATTTTAAGGTTCTTAACAAGATGTTGTTGTTGTTATAAGATGTTCAGATGTTGTTATAATCATTTTGAAAAGCATTTTTTTTTAATTTAATATTTTTTCTGTCAGTTTATAATGTTTACAGAATCCATTTATCGTCTGCACTTTAATGTACAATCTCGGTTACTGCAATAGCGATTATTGTTGCCGCCACAGCCGCGATACCTCATCTTTTCACACTTTCTGGTCCTCGAACTCCAGTACCACATTTCGTTCATGGCAGTCAAGCCGCACCAGCGTGTATTACTGTTTCCTTCATCCTGATTGCCAGTGCATACCTGATTAACTATAATTTTTTCTTAGTCATCTTTCATTCACTCGATTACTTTATGCTTTGTCACTTACTAGGACGTCCTACGCAATTACTTTGTGCGTCAGTGCAGGCCAAATAGAGTGTCAGGCAAACCAAGATCAAAAGGCACTTCATTCTGAATCTGAACTGATCAATTGAGCAATTTAGTCGGATTATATAGGATTCGGTTCCGAAATGTTATTTACTATACAAGCCTGCTCTAGATTTTAAACAATGCCAAACTGTAAACAAAATCACATCTCCCAATAACTTTTTTAATCGCATTAAAATGGAGATGAAAAGCTGATTCGCTTTTGTGTTTTGTTTTATGTGTGTTATGTTCAAAAAGTACAAAAGTACAAATAAAATAACCTTATTGGCCTACTTTTAAGAACAGTTGTGTTTTGAAAGTAAGGTCTCATCTACGGCCTTGAGATTCTTCAACATTTATCAGTGAATTTAAAAACAATTTAAATATTTTCAGTCCTAGTATCGGATCTGCAAAATAAGTTGTAATTTACTTTGATATAGCTTTAAGATTCCCTTTTTTTTAGATAATTAGATTTTGCATTATAACCATATCATTTTAAGTTGGCATGTGGGTGTACTCAAGGGCAGATTTATATATCACAGTTAAATACTTTTTAACACCTAAAGTTTTAATATGTAGTACATGAACAGTACATTAAGTCTGGTAAATTTATGTTCTACGGAATAAATATATAATTGTTCTTAATTTTAGAAAACAATTTTTTGTTCAGTTAAAACCACATGTAGTTATATATAAAGCACTTGTAAGCTGAAATGAAATGTGAAAAATAAAACAAAGAGCTCAATTACAATAGAATTGAAGCAGGGCCCTTATAAAGACCCTGACAGCTGAGTTAAGACCTTATTTCCATATTGAAATTTACGGAACAACGTAACCCAAAATGCGGCGTTCCACACTGATTCTCATTACTGCTGTAATGGTCTTGTATGTTTTAGTGGTTGTGGCAGGATGCAAGGGAAAACCTGGTAAATACTCCAAGATTACTGAAAATAACTGAAAATATTTTTATTACGAACTTTATTTAGGGAGTCCAAAATGTGTAGGGCAACCGGATGGCGGTAATAATCGCAAAAGAAAGTGCAAAAAATCGGCCAATAACGATATGTGGAATTATAATCCGGTGACCAAAAACTGCACCAAAATTAATTACCTTGGATGCGGCGGTAATGACAATCGTTGGTGCACAAAAGTTTTATGTGAGGGCTGCCGATCAAGATGAAATAAATAAAATAAAATAATAAAACAATATTTCCATTTAATTATTTTTCTGGTTTATTTGATTGGTTTCCTTCTTCAAATATTAGTCGATTTCATCTTTTGAAAATGATAACCAGCTTACTTGAACAACGCTAACAAAAGCTAACAAGCTTGGAAATTGCATTACGTGTATGATTATCACTAAGTTTAAGTACAACAATTCTTAGGGCTAAACTTCAACCAGTTCTGTACAGGCTTAGCATAAATTACTAGTTTTAAATAGTTTATTTTTGTGCGATTTTTCTCGTTTATCTAAAAATTCTTTACAAACATTGCTATAATTATTTATTCGATTTGTTCACTTCGCTTCTGGTTAGCTATTTTCGCATTTGTTTTATTTATATTTTAATTGTTTTGTTTTTGTGCTGTTATATTCTTTGTTGTTTCTTCTTTTTTTTAACGGAATGCGGGCGGTATTAAGTTAAATATTTGATTTTCGTTGCACAGGTACGCAATGATATGTGAAGGCAGCAGTTAATCAATTTCATTCTTACTGATCTGAGGTAGGTATAAAACAATGTATAAAAAAAATAAAAAAATAAACACTGCGTGGGGCAATTGAAACAGTCTAGATTCCACACAAAAGTACAATCCTAAACGGGCCATAAGTTATCAAATAAATTACATAAACATTTACGATTATTAAGCATATCTATGTAAACTATGCTACTCATTATCAACCTATATTTATATATGTATAAAAAAAACATAAAAACAGTCTTGTGGTTGCATTTGTGTTTAGTTTCTCGTTAAGCAGATTTCATTTCTGTGATTATGATTGCAGAATGCGAATGAATAAATATGTGGCGTGCGAATGTGAATGTGAATACGAATACGAATAGGTGTACGTTTACGTTTACGAGTTGCAGTTCGAGTAGGACTATAAATAAATTCTGCTTAATTACTGGGTACTATGCGCATGTCTTTTTCTTGGTGTGTTCTAGGAATTGGAGTTATCTCTCCGCTATTGTGAGTGTATGTGTTTTGGGGGTGGTGTTATGCAATATTTACAGAGCGGCCCCACCTACAAACTATATATACAGGCCACTTATTTACAGTAGGGTGGGTCGAGTTCTATTTGGACCCCCAAAAAGCTTGGAAATCGTAGGGTTTGGAGTTCTGGAGTTATAAAATTTGTATGGCCTTGGAGTTTTTTATGTCTCATTTTCTTGTAACGAAATTAAGTGTTAAAAAAAATCAAATCCTATTAATTATTAGAAAATAAATCAAATCTAACTGATAAAATTGTTTAACTCAATGGTGCTTAGATCTAATGATCTTAGTTTTTTACAATGACTGAGCCACTTGATTTGAAAATCATCTTATAAATTGTATGATGAACAGGGTATCTGAGTTGAATATTTACTAGCTTTAACTAATTTAATAAAGGACACCAAGGTAAAGGTTTTTAAACAAAAAAGTGAATGTTTTTTAAGATAGAAGCCTAACGTATCTACACATTACCCCTACGATTTTGGTTGCTTTTTTGGATCCACCCCAATTTACAGGGTATTTGGTGAGTCTAGTTGGCCTGCTGGGTGAGCAGGTTGACCAGCTCGGTGCGCTCCATGTTGTTGAGCGTGTGCATATCGACGCCCAGGGCGGCGGCCACCGCCTCGATGTCCAGGCCAAAGGCGGTGAGGAGTTCCAGGAAGCGCATCTCCTCGCCGGTCATGGGATTCGTGAGCGTGGGACAGGAGTGGTTGCACTGCGGCCAACTGCAGCGCTCGAGGAGTCGCAAACCGCACTTTTCCGGCACTCTTGGAACTCGGGGGCGTTTTTTGGTCTTGGTGCCGGCGGAGGCGTTGTTCGAGGCGCGTGTCTTCTGGGGTTCCCCCGTCTCCTGAAGGACTCCAGCTGTTCCTGGCTGCTCCTGTTGCATTTGCTTCTCCTGCTGATGCTGCTGAGCCTTGCGACGTCGCTTGCGTTGCTCCTGTTTTTGCTCCGGTGTCAATTGCTGACGACGTCGCTGTTTTCTCAGCTCCCGATTATCATTGCCATTATTCGACTTGGGGCTGTTGTTCTTCTTGTTCCTATTTTCCTGCGCTCCATTGGCCTTCTTGTGCTGCTGCTGCTGCTGTCGACGGCGTTGTTTTCGCTTTTGCCGCTGCTCCTGCCGCAATCTTTTCCGCTCCTCGCGCTCCTCTTTGCTAAGATGATTGTGTTTTCGCTGCTGCTCCTGACCGCCCGTTTGGGCCACATTATTGAGCTTCTGGCGCTGCTGCCGTTGACGATGCCGCTGGTGTCTTTGGTTATTGGCATGTGGCAGCTGGGACACCGCCGTCGATGGTTCCGTGGATCGCTTCAGCTTGTCATGCCGTTTACGGCGCGTCGAGTGCTCCCAGCAGCGCAAAGCCGAGGGCAGGGATATATCATCGATTTTGATATTGACCCAATCCCTTTTTGACAGGACCGCATGTCCAATGCAACTGGGCGCAAACACTGCGCTCACATTGTCTAGCGAAGATCGGAGAGCACCACCCATCTCGTGGATGTAGTTCCATTGCTGTGGCGTCACCGGTGCCCCAACATTATCCGCTCGCATTTGGGCTTCATCAAAAAGCCATTGAAAAACAAATAGAGGAGCTGTTGATGAAGGAAAGCGTGTTAATAAATTTTATAAAATCAATAATGTCAAGTTAACTCACTTTTCAATGTGGGATATAGCCTGTAGCCGAAGTAGCACCTCCAGGGCTCCGTGGGATGCGCTTTGGTGCACTCCTCGGGCAGCAAACCCTGCCACAGCTTCCAGCCCTGACGCACTGCCTCGCTGGAGCCGACGGCCGCCGGCGTGTAGGGCTCCCTGTCCAGGAACCAACCCGAATCACTCACACCTCGCACAGTGACCTGCAGTTTCTTTTCGTTGACCAGGAAATCCCGAATGCGATCCAAATTGAGCATTACACCCAGACCACCGGCGGAGGAGCCCACAAGGAGCAATTCTCCACCCGGCACTCGTCCCAGTCCCACGGGAATCAGTTCAGCGATCACCTGGCGCAGGATCAGAGCCCCCATGAATCTCCAACTGTTCTCCGGATCGCGGGTATCCGGTTCCGTTCGCGTTCCCGACCACGAGTCACTGCTGCAGTACGGGATGAGCACGTGGTTGGCATTGTGCCAGTACGGATTCTCCTCGGGATGCGGAGATAGGATGCCTCCAACTGTAAAATATAAATTATACAACAATTTAGTAATCGTTTTTTAAAGGTGGAGCTAAAAATATTTATAATCCAAATTTTGAAATGGAAGGGGAATATATTTATTTTAAATTTATTTTATTTAAGTTAAATATGGGTAATTTAATTATTTAATTTAAAATTTTGAGATAGTAAAATTATTTTCGACAATAGGCAGATAAGGATTTTAACAAATGCTTGTAGTTAGTTAGTTAAAAGGAAAGTTAAAGTTAGTACATTAGTTTAGTACTGGACTCACCATCTCTCGTTTCGGGCCACTGTGAGGAGGTCATGAGGTGGCGCAGTCGCATCCACCTGGCGCGACATGACCTCAGATCGAAGCAGTGCCAGCCGCCCTCGAGGAAGACGATCCACTTCTTGGAGCTGGGCTGCTTGCGCAGGTAGTAGCCGGCATGGGTGCCATCGTTGCAGGTGATGCTCGAGTTGGCCAAGATGGCCCGTTTGAGGGAGCGACTGTGATCGCCGGATCCGCTGGCCGAGTGCATCACCATGTAGTTGCGCTGGATCATGTTCATGCTGGTCTCCCGCAGCGGATCCTTGTCCTGCAGATTGGAGGCAGCATCCTGGCTACTGCTGCTGCTGCTGCTGCCACTCGCAGTTGGCAGCTGACTAAATGTGGCCAAGAGCAGCACAATCGTTAACAGCGGCGTTACTGTCTGTGAAAGAGAGAAAAAGGAGTGTTGTTTTAATCATTTATTCGAGTTAACAATAATAACAGAGATGCTGCTGCTGCTGCTCTCTCTCTCTTGGGCCAAAAACTCTCGTGACCAGTTGGTTGGCTGTTATGTTTTTGGCGGAAAAACTTGCTTTGATCAAAATGCGAGCAAGAAGCTTTGCGATAAGATCAAAGAAATTTTTGCCGCTTGCCGTTTCGTTGTGTTATTTTTCCCCCCCTCTTTACCTTTACCTTTCCCTTCGTTTTTGTTTGTTGTTGCTGTTGTGTTTTTTTTTTTTTTTTACATAGAGAGAAGTATTTAGTCAAACATGGCAAGAAATTGTTGTTAATCATACGCCCCGTGGGCCAGTCAAACAAATTTCAATTTCACATTGTCATGGTCGCTGACGCGTGGTAATCAGCAGTTCTTGGCTTTGAACTTAAGGTCGCTTTGTTGTTTTCGTTGTTGTTGTTATGTCTTTTCGTTTTTTACACACATCAATCAAATGAGCTATCCGGCGATTTGTTTTGTTGTTTCGCTGATTCTCCATTTTTTTTTTCTTTTTTGTTTAGCTTTTTTCCAGCAATTTGTAAATAAGACAATACAACAACAACAAAAAAACACATTTGCCGACAACATCGGCAACGATTTTAGTGTCTCAGTGTGTCAGTCTGTCAATTCTGTCTACGGTCTTGCCTCCGCATAAATAACCATTCAGAAATCGTAAAGAAATCTTCAATCAATGTTTATACAGGCCTTTGAAGTTAGCCGACTTCTGCCGCCGTCGCCGCCGCCAGCAACGACAATTTGCAGACAGAAATGCAAATGACACAAACACGAAACGAAAACACTCTGGCAATTATATTGGCCAAAGGCCTACAAAGTATAATTTTGCCTAACGGTAGCCAGCCAGCCAACCATATATATATATATATATATATTTGTATATATATATATGCGTCGATATCCAGTGACTTGGCTATTTATAAACTACACAATCCGGTTCCCCGAAATCGAATGAAATATATGCATAATGCACGAATCCGTAATCTGAATTCAGATAAATTAGTTTTAACAAAATCATTGACAAATACCTTAGTTGATAACATTTCAATAATAGTGAATCGATTTTATTTGACTAAGATTTGTGGAAGCTTGATTTATGAAAGCTATAAATTTATTTCGTTGAAGTTTTATTATAGTTTTAATGTATATTTGAATAAACAAATAAATAAAAGTGCATAACATATTTAATTTAATCATTTCTAGATTCGTATAAAAGAAAGGAATTATAAAGTAATTATAATTTTTATTATAAAACAGGTTCCCATTTATTAAATACATTGTGTAAGGGGAAAACCAGGCTGTAACAACCATTTAATTTTTTATAAAATAACAGACTTAGTAATAAAGATAGGTGAATGAAATATAATAAATATTATTCATTAAAAAGATGATAATAGATAACTTAATCCTTTAAATAAAAAACCGGGCTGTAAGACATCTATATTTTAAAAATTGCCATGTAATAATTTTGTTAATATGAAAATATATATATATTTCTTTAAAATTGTCTAGTAAATATTTTGTTTTATGCCCTATGCCTTTTCTACCAACATATTTCGCTCCACTCTTCTAGTTCTCACCCCATCCCCCCTTTTTCTGTCCGCTCTGCACGTCTTTTACAACAGGTTTAGATACTTTGTGGCCCGTCTTAGCCGCTCGTCGTCTGATGTTTGCCGCCAAACAACGAAATTGACAAGAGCTCGCTCCTCAACATTAGATGAGTAGTTTCCATTGTTGATTAGTTCAACTGCGCCAACGACTGCGGCCACAATGAACCTCCAAAAAAAATACAAGTAAAATAAATATAAATAAAAAGATTTCACGTGTGCGTGCGCGGATTTACGTTTGAGTAAACACCGATACATATACAGATACAGATACAGAAACAGATACACCGAGAGATACGGGTGAGCGTACGTTGCACTTGTTGTGTTTACCTGTTGAGAAAAAACGGCAGCGCCGCCGAATAAAAGACAGAAAAAACAAAAACAGAGGCGGCGTGGCCAAAGGAAAAATGTTCACAAGCGCCGCTTAATTACCCTATATAGAGTCTTAAGTTGCGCTATTAATTGCGGGCAGTGCTTATTAATATTTTGCCTTATTTTTCCCGACTCACCCCCCCACCCATAAAAGTGGCGATGCCGACAAAGGAGCGCTACTCTGTTCGATTCGAATCGATTCGAATGTCTGGGGGCTGGATGGCAGCCAACTACTTGTCGCGCCGATTATATTGTCAGTTTTTATTAATTGCTGCAAATACTCGGTCGCGTTTGCGACGCGGTGGCGCTAAGCGTTCTTTATTTTTTCATTTATTAAAAAATCGAGTATACGCCCCGTTGTGACTGGAATTGATTTGATTCCATTTGATTCGATTGCATTGGCAATTGACTGCAACCGTGCGCCCGTCTAAGTGTTTTAATCGAATTGCAATTTGCATAAGGTTAGGGATTGCATGCAATTATATTTGCTGAAATTTGATTTAGTTTTAAAATGGCTAAGCCGTCAATACATGTCTGTGAACTGTTACATTTTAATTATCACTATAAGTTTCGTAACATTTGTCTAAGCTAAAAGTATTTGTTTTTTGTAATGGAGTTAATTTTTAAAAAGAGGTTTTGATAATAAATAAATTTTAAATCGATTAGCTAATTTCTTTTTTTGTTTACAAGTTTAAAAAAAGTTTAATTCTAATCTGGTAAATACCATGTATTTTTAAAGTTATTTTGTTTCCCATAAGTTTGTAAATATTCTATGCTCCTTAAACTTTGCCAACTTAAAATCTTTGCAAGCCAATATTTATGGGTTAAGTAATTAAAAATATTATATTAATCATTCTATAACTGAAAGTCGAAATAACTATATTTATTTATGGCAGCTAGTGATTCTTGTTGTAGAAGTTTTACTGTGGGTATATTGAGTTATCTTAGCACAAAATATAACGACCTTGTCCAAATCAAAGGGAGGCCGTCGTTGCTTGGTTCTTAAAGGTGAAGGAAGCTCCACTCCAATGTTGTTGTTGTTCTTGGCGCACTTGCAGCGTCGACAACAAAAACACACACCAGCAATAACAACAACTACAAACGGACGAGCGCGTTCTCAGTCACTCGCAGCTTATCGCAATACGCTTAAGTAAACAGCGGTCTGGGGCATAAATAAACTTCCGTTGCCGTTCTCATGGCACTTGTTATTCTTGTTGTTGCTGCTATTGTAATTGTTGTTGTTGTTGTTGTTGTGTTTGTTGTTATTGTTGTTCCTGCTGCCAGTTTGTTTGATTTGCGTTTCTCCATCTCTTTCCCAGCCCAATATCGCTATCTCTGTCCCGGTTTCTCTGTTGTTTGCCGGCTTCAATGGTTTCAGTTTGCGCGCGTAACCAGAATCGTTATGAAAGAGAGCGCGCTCTTAACAAAAAACAATACGATTAAAAAATAGCATATAAATACTCCAAAAAATATACATGATTGTAAAAATAGCCGAAAGAACAAAAGCAATATTTAGCAGTATTATTTCGTGGAAGTATTTTTCGATAAAGACGCTTTAGGTATATGCTAAATATTATATTGACTCTAAAAACGTAATTCCCCAAAACAAAATATGCATTTATATTTCGGAGGAATGTTTAAACAGCTTTTTTAAATTATGTATTTAATAACAATAAATTAGTTTGAGCAATTTAATTTATAATTTCTTTATGATTTAAGTATATTATATTATCTCAAATTTTTAAATATTTTTTTGCAATATATGTGCACTAAATATCTTTCTGTACCCAATTTTCAGCAGTAACTTGCAAACTTTCCCACTTTTGCCCGCCTAATCCCTGACAGCTGGCAAAGATTGATTTGTTTTCCGGTTCTGACCTGAATTGCACTGGTCTGTAGCAGAGTTTTAGAATACTTAAAGCCATGGCCTAGGCGCGCATAATTGCAGTTCCCGAAACCTGAACGATCCGCCTTATGGTCTCGGTTTTCTGCCTGTCGGGCATAAAAATACACCTGTTTGCGGCAATTTAATACTTTTTATGGCAGGGAAATAACGCGGTGGCTGCTGTTGCTGCTGTTGTTGTTGCGTTGCTGCTGCGTTGCTACTGCATTGCTGGCATGGCAAAGGCGCAGGTAATTCGGAAGCAGCCTCAAATGAAGCCGCAGGCCAGCGAGCGGGAATGGGAATGGGTATGGGTATGAGTATGGGTATGGGAATGGAGCGGAGAGCGGCAACAACAAAAGCGAAGCCGCCGAAACGTGTAGCCAGTGCCAACAGCAAGCAGCAGCGTTATTAGACCGGCCTGATCTGAGTATCGGAGTATCTGTGTCTCTGCCGTATCTGCATCTGTATTTGTAGTTGTATCTCTGTATTTTCGTATCTGTATCTTTGTGAATGTGCGCACGTCTGCCAAGCGGTCACCGTGTTGTTGCTGTTGTTGCTGCGGCTGCTGCCCGCTGATCGCTTTTTACTCCGAGCGCGCTAAACCCGTGCCGTTTTCGGCTTTGTACTTTGCCGCCCGTGGACTCGTGTATTTTTGCGGCATGTTGCAAAGCAGATCGAAGCTGGCCAAGTAACACACAGAGAAAAATGAAATCATCTTCACCATGATCCTCAAATTTGATTAGGATTTTGGTACTTATTTGTGCTTAAACTATTAAATGTTGATGAACAAAATCATAGGAATTATATTGATTTAAAAGTGCCTAGTAGAAAATTAATATTTCATTTTTGATTACCATTTGTCTGCCTTTTCTCGTTCAGCCAAATATATGAGAAAATTACATTTTGCAACAAAATTGTTGTTGCTTTTATAAAACTTAAATTCAATAGAATTAATTACAATGCAAGGATGAAGGAAAACTTGAAAGTTTTAATTTCCGTTTTTAAATTAGATTAACTCTGTGACTTTACAATATTCATATACCCCTACCCGTAATTCAATTCTACATTGACATTGTAATGCTTTGGAAACGATATTTTTCTATATGGATTGCTCTTCTTTTTATTGTCAGAATTTTGTGCTCAAACTTAAAACTTATTTAACAGCTATTAGAAGTTTAGTCCCTTAAAATGAGTAACCCCTTAGTTTATCTTGAATTACTAAGAAAATTGTTTTCTGTGCTGTTCGGGCCAACTACAAAAAGCCAAGGCATCGTCGTCGTCGCCGCACTCATTGATCTTAACTTTGAAAACAGTAGCTACTACGACTGTGGAGTGGAGTGGATGTGGATGTGGATGTGGCTGTAGATGTGGATGTGGCCGAAGCAGTATGGCTATGGGGATATGGGATCTCGAGACTTCAAGCGAAGTGGGGCGCACGAAGGCGGCCTGCACTTTGTTGTTGCTGCTGCTGCTGCCTCTACTGCTGCTGCTGATGAGGGTTTTTGGTTAGCTACACTTAAAGTCCCATTCCCATTCCCATTCCCCGCTCATTTCTGTCGGCCTTTTTGTTTTCGCTCCCCTTGCCGCCGTCGCCGCCGCTTATTTTTCTTATGCTGTTTTTGTTTTCCGCCTTTTTGTGATGCGACTGGCTTTTTGCGCACGCAGGCAAATTTAATCTCGTTTTTTATGCCCTTGCAAAGGATTTTCAAATTGATTTCGACCGACTATGCTAATGTCGTAAATAAAGCTGTAGAGAGGATTTTGGTTTCGGTTTTCGGTTCTCGGTTCGCGGCCGAGTTCTCACAATTTGGCCAGCGGCTTAGGTCGGAAGCTATTAATTTTAATTGACGTGCTACTGTATTTTTTCGGTCTTCTGCTTAAGCGGCAACTTTTGATATCCCCCTTTGGGTATTTTTTAATATTTCGCCGTGGCTTCATATTTCATTTGTGGGGCTACCGTATTGCGGCGTTGAAAACTCACCTGCTGGGTCTTAATCCATTTATTTGTAGCTTCTCCGGCTTTAGCTGCCATTTTAGCGATTTGTTCGGCTGCCATTTTCGATTCGATTACACATAGATATTTATATTTAAATATATTTAAATTAAAAATAGATTTTTGTTGTTTGTTTTCTTTTCCTTTTTTTTTTGTTCAGCACAGTTCTGAGCACTTTTTGGGGCGCTGCATTGTATGCGATCGGTATTGATTTTTGTTTTGGCACTTATCAACTTGCTGTGATTTTGATTTTACTTCGGGCGGGGGATTTTTTTTGTGCTGTCGTTTAACTGTGAAGTAATGTATTTGATTCGTTTCGATTTGTATTTTTTTTTCTAGTTGGTGATAGGTGATAGCACTGCGATGTTTCGTTATCTGCGGCACGGCACACGCGCTTAAAACGTCCGCTCACGTTGAATGCTCGCCACGGAATGAAATTTTACCTTGCGCTGGGCTGTTTGATGCCGAAGTTGCTGCTACCGCCGCTGTCGCAGTCGCTGCCGCTGCCTCAGTCGACGTTGCTCTCTCACGTGTTTACCGCTCACTCTCCGCATATAACTCTCTCATTCACTCTCTCTCAGCGGCGATGGCGGCATTTGTACGCCTGCGTTTTTGTTTAGAATACGCAAAATAATAACAAAACTAATAATAAACTGCAGGGCAATGCAATTTGAGAGAATCGCGGGCAGCGCTGCGACTGCAACGTCGACTGAGGCAGCGACTGCGGCAGCGGCAGCGACTGCAGCTACTTGTTAATAACCGTATTAAGGTTTCCTTTGATCTGCTTAATCGAAAGCCGAAATGAATTTTGCTTCTGGTCTTCCCGCCCAAGTTCGTTGCCTAAGTCTTTTGTTTTTTTTTCCTCCTCTCCTTTCCACCTCTCATTTTTTTTTCGGTTAATGCTAATTTAGTGTAATTGCAATTATATTGCAAACTCTCATAATTCGCTCATCGCATATATGTTTTTATTGTTGAGTTTTATTTTTTTGGCTGGGCTCATTTTGTGTTTTATGGCTTTTGGGCATTTCGTGGAAACGGAGCAATTTTTGATATGGCCCTGAACATTCGGATGTTCAGCGGCTTAAAGACATAAAATCTCAATAAAGTAGCCAGCGACTTTTATCTAATTGTAAATCTAAAGGCAAATTCCCCGTTTTTAAGCGACCCTTTGCCGACACGCTTTTCTATATACGAAACTCAATTAATGACAGATCATTAAAAATTCTTTTTTTCGGGGCCTTTTGATTTTTGCCGTTTGGCCCCGAAATCGAAATACTTTTACGATTTTTCCCCCAGCCCGTTGCCATAAAATTGATTCGCTTTTGCAAAAATTTTATCACTGACCAAATTGATTTTAGCTGTTCGCTGCCGCAGCAGCGCTGCTCCAATAGAAATTGTAGGCCTAAAGGAAGAAGGCAAAAAGTAAAGAAGAAAAATGTCTGAAAAAATGATGTCCAACTGGCTCGGCGGCGGCGGCAGCGTCGGCAAACTTAAAAGTGGCAAATAGAAAGGAGCCGACCTGGTCGACCAGTCCGATTCAGTGCAATATTTATGCATTAAGTACACGCAATTATTATGCGACAACGACGACAACGGCGGCAGCATCTCAGGAGATTATTGATGCTCGCATTGCTCATACGCAGCGTGGCCACTGGCCACTGGACACTAGGCGCTTGTGCCGTTCGGGCAATTAAAACGCCGCCAGCACGCGATGAATGCCATAAACATTTGACGCGCAATCAGCAGCAGCAGCAGCAGCAGCAGTAGTTGCTGTTGCAGTTGCAGTTGCAACTCCTTCGGCTCTTTAGCAATTACAGCAGCACAAATTCAAAGACGCTCCATCGGCATAATGATGATATTGCCATCGGGATGATGATCTGGCTGTGATGAGTGCTACTTTTACTGCACCGTAAAATATTTAGGTCCTATGTACATTTTCAATGTACATTTTCAATATCAAGGAAAGATACTTTGTCTTTGTAAGTCTTCAAAGTAAGCCATTTCCAATTATTCAAATGTACTTTAATATAATTATTATCATAACAATAATATTATGTTGTGTCAGTAGAGTTAATTGTACACTTTATGCTTAAAAATAATACTATAACTTGCTTTGCCAAAAAATGCAATAACATACTCATCATAATAATAATGCTGTGAAAACAAAAAATGATATTTTTACTACACTGAAGAACTGCTGACCAAAAATGTATTTTTAAAATATTTTTCCAAGTTTAAAATGGGAAAAATATATAATAATAATGTGTATGTAGTGCAAAATTAAATTTTGATAAAACCGAATCTTACTCTCTAAATAAAAGAGAAAAACATCTAGAGATTTTTGAGCTAAAATTATAGTGAATGAGAGTGCCCCAGATTTTATTGCGGTGTGGGGCCAGGAAAACAGATCACGGGCGGACGGACATGGACATTCATTTCGCTTAAGCGCACTAACCGGGTAAACTGGTCGGTGTCTTTGATCCTGGCATTCTATTGTTCCGTTTCAAAGGCCACTATTATGTAAACAATCGGCAGCTTTGATCTTGGCCGCATCAAAGTGTTGCCGCCGTGTTTCATCTTTTGCCGCATGCAGCAAATAGCGAGCGGCAAGCAGCAAGCAGAAGCGGCAAGCAGCAGCGCCAGCTGATGCCCCAGCCAAAAGATGACGATAATGATGATGATGACGATGACGATGATGATGAGGACGGCGAAGAACAGCGAAGTTAAAGCTGCCAATGCCACTGCCACTGCCACTGCCAACACTGAGCTATATAATTTCGCATAGGCTGAACTGATCACCCGGAGCACCTGGAAAACGGAGCTACAGCTACATACAGCCTCATAACTTTGGGCATAATCTTCAAAGCGCCGACATCGCTTGACATCAATCGAGTCGGCCATTCCCGCCGAGTCGGCCGCTCTAATCCCAACAGATGGGCTCCCGGATCGCTGGTCGCCGATAAGCAATTAAAATTTCATTTAATGCACAACTTTATTATCGGTTCGGCCCAGTCACGGTCACGTCCTTTGATCCTTTCCCAGTTTTTCAGATTTCAGATTCCAGGCCAGTACAGGACACCGCCACGCAACTGTTCCCGTTTTGCGAAAAGCAATGAGCCCTGTGGGAAACGCAACAGGTGCGCCAAGGATCCAGCATCCACCATCCAGACCATACAATCCCCAGTCTGCAGCATTACTCATCAGAAGGCAGAGCGGCCATCTCTAATTTCATCGGCCAGCGATCATAATTGCATTGCTCTCGATTGATGGAGGTCAGTGATGTTTAACCAGGTGATTTGAGGAAATTCTTTGCAAAACTTGTATTCAAGTACATAAGCAAGTAAAGAAGCCCTTCGTAAAATATTATTATAATATATTAATTAAATAATATTCGATAATAAAAATACATTTCTTTCAAGACATTATTTGTTTAAATCGGTCATTATTTGTATTAATCCTATAATAGGGACTCCGTTTAAAAAGGCAAAATTAGATTAAGTTTTTTGGAAGAAAAAGTTTAAAGTAAAGTTGTAATCTGTAGGAAAAAAATATTTATTATTAATATTTTTGGGAGGAATTGAACACTAAATTATTTCGTAGGAAGACACTGTAGAATTTTAGTTTGCTCTTGATTTCAAACTGAAAGCAATTAGATAAACTGCTCTACAAAAATTACGATAAGTCTAAAACTAAGACAAATTAAACTGAAAACGTAATGATATTTTAATAGCATTGTATTTATAGAAAAGCTCCCAAAAATTATTCACAATTTTTTATAAATTGTATAAGTATTCCATTGAAAGTTTTTAATCCTTGTCTTCATTTGTCTATGTAAGGTTGTATTACAACTCCGATAAGTATGCATTGAAATTTTCCTATTTGTGCTCCTTTTTACTTAGCTTTCAATATGATTTTGGATTTGTTAAGTTCCCCACGCCAAAAGCCATATGATCAGCTCTGGCTGCTTGCTAAAGGCCGCCAGAGTTGGCTTAAATGCTTTGACCAAGGGGCAACAACTTTCTGGTGGCACTCTCTCGCATCGCAACGCACGCTCCACGTTCCACGCTCGCCGTGTTGTTGTTGTTGTTCTTGTTGCTGCTGGTGCTGTTGCTGCTGCGGTCCACTTGGCGGCAAATTGCTGTTGCATGGCGATGATGTTGTTGTTGGCCGGCAACGAAGACGTAGACAAAGTCGGCGAAACAACAAAGCGAAAATCTCTGCATTGGGGCACACGCCATTCCCAACATCAAAGCGTGCCGCCAGCACAGATTTTCTGAGGTTACCATCGCCACCGTTGGGGCAGCAGCAACATCACCAGCAGCAACATCGCAGCAGCAGCAGCAGCAAGAGCAGCAGCAACGCATGCGCAGAACTCTCTGCTCATTTGTGTTTTGAGGCGCATTGTGCGACGCGCGTGTTAAGTGGACTGTGAATATGAAAGGAAAGTTTCCAAAAGGAACCGAATAAAAACAGCAATGAACACAATAACCCGACAATGAGATACCCTTGACTAACTACTTTAATATAAATTATGTTAAAATTATAGAAAACCTGGCTTGAACATAAAAGTCTTTAAATTTTGAGCTCTAACTTTGCCCTTTCCGAAATCTCAGTTAGCCAAAGAATAGATACATTTTTAAAAAGAACTCAATATACCCTTTCTCTCTACAGGTAACGGGTATAAACATTTTTTGCCACCACATAAATGCAAGTCCAGCTTCAGATCCTTTTTACCAATCGCCTTTTTTCCAACATCCCCTCGTTCTTAATCAAGAAACGCATCGGCGGCGTATCACGGTAGCACTTTAAACGTAAATTGCTTTTAACATGGTTATTACAATCTTAACGTTTGTCTGGGCCACGAAGCACTTCAGGCGGCGGCAACCTGTTGTTGATGTTGTTAGTGCTGCTGCTGCTGCTGCTGCTGCCGCCGCTGCTGTTTGGTACAGGCAGCAATAGAATTCCGGCTAAGATCGGTTCATCTTTGTTTGTGTCTCTGGGACTGGGACTTCGACTTCGACTTCCACTGCGACTGCGATTGCCATTCGAACTGAAACTGGGTCTGGATTATGCTTTCGGAAGATTGTTGTAATTATGATTGCGCGATTATGTTTGGATTGAATTAGTTGTCGGTAGATTTTGCTTTAATCGAAATTGTTTTGTTCTTATTTCCACCGCTCGCTCACGGTTTCTGTGGCTTCCATTGCTAATTAGTCGAGCGCACGGCAAGATCAAAAACGGCATAAATTCGTACACAGAAAGAAGTTCAAAATATTTGGTTTTCAAAAACAAAGATTTAACTTAACTCATCGTGTGCATTCTTTAATCTTTTATGGCCAAATTAAGAGTACATAGAGAATATTTTCATTTTTCGTTTGGGGTTGAGTGTTTAGTTTTTAAAAAAACACTTTAAAAACA